AACAAAAAAAAAAAAAAAAAATTCCGTACGGAATCGCCGATTCACTGTTCGGACTCGCCGATTTCGTACAGTGAATCGGCGATTCACTGTACAGAATCGTCCGGTTCTCTCTAGAACCGGACGATTTCCGATTTTTTGGGCGATCCGGTCCTTTTTCACGATTTCCGAGTCGAACCGGGCGAGTCCGGTTCGACTCGGCGTTTTTTAAAACGCTGGATAAAACATATCTGATAAACACGTGCTAATTAAAATCCTAATTTCAATAACATCGGATGCCAATATATCTATACTAATACCGGATTTCAAATAATAGAACACTGACCTTAACAGCCAATTCACCGATGGCCCAACAAGCATTATTTGCAACTGAAACAGTTTCCTTGACCTCAGGAACACTCTAGATGAAGTAAAGCAAGATGTATTAGCCATCACATAATAGATTCCATTTAATTTAGATATGTCTATCAACTGACTGCTTCACTCACCAGTTGCTTGGCTGCAACACTTAAGAAATCAGAAAGACGAGGATGCAAATGAACAGGGCAAACCTGGCCATCAGTCAACAGCAACTTTGTTACAGCTTGAAAATGAGAAAATAAATACAAGCAACTGAAAGAATAACTTCAAATCCATTCTCACTCTAGCAAGGTCACCAAGAAGCGCAAAGGCACTTTGCCGAATATCAGCAGCTTCATCCGCACAGCATTGCAAAAGCAGGTCCCTCAGGTTGCTTTGTGCAACCTAGAAGAGCACACAGCCAACATAACCATATCACTCTACAGAACAAATGTTTACTTTGTATTAAGATGCTTCTCTAGGGAGTACAAATATTCTCAATCTGCTATAATCTTGAACCCCATGTTAAGCAATGGAATCTACTATGCACATAGCTCGGATATATTAACGACAAACACCAACTCTAACCTCACAAAAAACTGCTTCCTTTGACTACTTTATGATAAATATTCAATCTCTCACTGCTCAAATTTCTATAATTTGTTACGTGTTCACAAACTGAAGAATTGACTAAGCAAAACGCTTGGAAAGAAGAGATCCACATCACATAATGCAGACCCAAAAAAATAAATTTACAGCTAATATCATTACAACAAGGCAATTATAAACATGCAATGGAATGTCTAGAAAATATAAAGTATGGGCATACCAGGCTTTCTATCCCACTGCCAAGTCCTTCTGCAAGTCCAGAGAGCAAATCCAAAGAGCAAACTATGAACTCTTTATCATATTGAACACCCGCAGCTACAGGGTCAACCTGCATATGGCACACAAAGAACTCAACTCTTAATCAATAGCAATTTCAGTCTACAACTACTGAAATTCGATTCATCAAAAATCACAAACTTTTTGCCAAAAAAAAATATTAAGTGCAGGACAGGGAAACAGATCAAATTGGTCTTTTCAAAGCGAAAAATGTTAATGAAATGCAAGTGTAAAAAGAATCACAAATATAAGAAATTGCCCAGGAACAGTTTCTGATTGGAACTTGCCTTACAGGCAATGACATAACCACAGCTAATGTAGAATCAAATGTTGTAATGGATACCTTTGCCAGCTGCTGCATTCGTATGAGGTTGATACATCTCTGATAAACCGGCTCTGCAAACTGGGAAAATCCAGGACCTAATGCCTGAGACACATAGTAGGCAGCGCATCCATTAACATGAATCCCTTGCTTTGAATTGCCATGACCTAAAAAGTTATGTGCCTGATGATGCATATGTATAAAAACATACATATAAACATATGCATGTATGCATGTGTATGCAAACTGCAGCAGTAAATGCAGGCAATCTATAGTCTCAGTATAGGAAAAGAGAGAAGAGATGCCTGACTAAATTGCACTACTTTGAAACATTCTAACACAACATCCCAGGTACCTAATGCCTGATACACATAGCAGGCAGCGCATCCATTAATATGAATCCCTTACTTTGAATTGCCATGACCTAAAAGTTATGTGCCTGATGATGCAGATGTATAAAAACATACATATAAAATGCAGGCAATCTATAGTTTCAGTATAGGAAAAGAGAGAAGAGATGCCTGACTAAATCACACTACTTTGGAACATTCTAACACAATATCCCAGTTACAAAAATACATATAATATATATTTATGTATGCATGCTTGCATACATAAATACATATAGCTTAACACACCAATACACATAAACACACACATGCCCATATATGCATATACAAACTGTAGCACAGAATGAAAGACAACATAGTTACAAACTTTGTACATGGGGAACATTCCAGCTCCCAAACCAGTCTCCCACAGAAATTCTGAATGGAAAGATACAGTCTAGGTCTCAAATACCTAAAAAGGCTAGAAACTTATTACCAAAGGATTCAAATTTTGAAATTCTTATCGATCACATGAGTTTTTGTCAAGTGCCAAATTTCACAGAACACTATACATGCTTCGGCTTTGATTGTCTGCGCACATCAATATGCAAGCAACCATGTTTCATCATACGAAGCATGAAACTGGATAACTAAATTCAGGACAGTCATCCTTTCTACTTTAAAAAAACTGGAAGCCTGAAACCAATACATTGTGACCAATGTGACCATGAGCAAGCAGTGTGCCTTTCTAATAATCATAAGGGAGCCGAAGTCCGCACATGAAATTGATGCCCAAAGCATTTCATAATGAAAAGAGCACCAAACAGGGAAAAAGACAGAAAATCATCACAAACAGGGGAAAAGACAGAAAATCATCAGGTTTCTAGATGAATAGAAGACTCATTAGCAGAGCAGGGAAATAATGCTCTCTGAACCAATAGTAAATTTAAGCCACTGATGACTGATTGAAACAAAGGGCTTCTCAAAAGAGCATTTTTTATTTTTGAAAAAAAAAATTAATAGAACATGTTAGAGCAGGTTTATTCATTCATAGTTCATACATATGCAATCCCAAGGGATATTGAGCCACTGTGCATGTCATATTTCTCGTAAATGATTGCTACACGAGACTCTGATTTGCCACTTGTAAGTCATAGGGCATTGCTTATGACTGTTTTCCCTCCCTCACAATTCTCTTGATATATGTGCCTTTACTTCAACTGTTCTACTCAAAGCTGCCATCTTTGATTTATTTTGGCTGAAGAGGCTGAAAATTTTGGGTTTCTCACCAGGGCTATAGAGATGTGAACTGGAGAATAACCCTCTTTACATAATTTAATGTTTATCAAACTATTGTATACTCACATAGGTATATGCTCCTTTGGAAATAACCCTATCAATGAATATCTTTCAGACGCCAAATTTTTCTGATGTTACCTCCCCGAACTTAGCAATCAACCTTAAAATAAATGCAATTTCTATTTCCTGAAAAAAAAAAATGCCTTTTAAGATTGAAAGGAGACTCCAATATTTGACTCTAAGTGTATGGGAAATCAAAATCTACTCTCTTTTCTTTTCTTTTCTTTTCTTTTCTTTTCTTTTCTTTTCTTTTCTTTTTTGGAAATACTCATCAGGTTATTCTAAACTGGTTGCAAAAATTTTAGATTGAGAAAATACTCCTAATAAGGCCTTTAGTAAAGGGAGTATTTGCACAGTATGATCACCCTATACCACATTTTATTATTGAATCATGGTAGCACAACTGTACCATAACGATAAGATGTAACATTTGGAGGTGTTGACTTTTGGGCATTTATTGAAAAGCTGGAAGTTCTATTTTATTCGACCTAGACAATCTTTTCCATTCTCAAAGATCCCATTCTACTAAAATTTCACAATAAAGTAAAAATGTCTCCCTCTATTATTGACAAGAAATAGAAATCATTAATAATAACATTCAGAAAAAAGTAAAAAACCTCTTTGAAATTAGTTCATTTGATAGTCTGCCAAATTTGTCAAAGATCATTGGGGCTAATTTTCTCTTATTCTTCATTTCTATATATTTTATTATTATTATTCTTATTTAAATATTTAAAAACCCCCAAAGTTTCCCCTGAATCAACTGAATTACCTAAGCACTTACTGTTCCTCCTTAGCGAATATGATAACATTGGATCTACTTCCCCCAATGTTCTAAATAACACCAAATAAGAAAATTAATTTTTTTTTTTTAAATATCCTGTAAAGCATAAAACAAGATTGCAACAGAAAAAGATATATATGGGAACCACAGCCCTTCCTTGAATAGCAGGAATGTCAACCCCCAAAATTATCAAAATCACGGTTTCAAGACAACCACATTGCAGTTTGAATGGATCATTTCTTCTCCATTTGACAAAAATCAGAAAGCAATTGATTTGACAAGTGACTCAGTACTGCATCTAGGAGGTATCCTTGCGTATTTCTCATGTTCATGTCACAAGGCAGATAAAGCAGCCTGCATAAACTTCTGAACAACTATGATTTCCCAGTGCATGAAATAGAAATATAATAGAGTAGAGCAAAGAAAAGACCTGTGCTATTGATGTAAAGCACTCCAGGAGTGGGAACAGGTCTTTGTCTGAATTAGTCAGCTGTTGCCACTTTGAGATTAATGGAGGCATCAATATTTCAAGATAACCGGGCTGCACCAAGGAAGGAAGGTAAGAAAACAAAGAAAAAGAAGAATAAGTTCAAATTCTTCAGAGAGCACAGAGAAAAACATTTAAAAGCTTGTGAAGAACACATCATAATACACCCATTAGTACCTGATTAAGCTCTTGTCCAACTGCATCCGCTAATGTACCAATTGCATCATACACAATACGAAGGTTTCTTTTCTGCAGGATTTTAAGAATCACTTGAGAAGGAGCAAAGTTTTCTAATAGTTCAGGATACACTAGATTACCATCATTTCAAAATACCCTAGACTAATAGGAGGATTATGTAGAAGGGAATTTTTCGTTCATTGGTACAGAGAGAGGGCGCTTTTTTATTAATATACAACAATTCTATAAAAATATTTATATACATACATACCAACATAGAGGGGTAGAGACATACTAAGAAGGATAGAAAAAATGTGTTTTGAGCATGTATGTTGGTATAGAGACATACTGAGAAGGCTAGAAAAAATGTGCTTTGAGCATACATACATGCATATATACAAGATACATGCATAGAGAAAAGACTAGTAAGAATGCACGTAGATATAGGCATATAGAATCCGGGAAAGAAGAACCTGATATTTCCCAAAAGCACAAAGAAGGTGCTGCAATATAATTTCCAAGCGAGGGGCCAGCTCTTCTGCAGCTTCCTGTCAATGAGGTTAAACCACACTGTCAATTTACAGGAAGAGCTCATAGAAGGGAGATCCCTCAGACCTCCTCCAAACATATCCACTTTACCTCTTCTAGCGTAGCAAAAGCAGAACAAGCAGCCTCTTGCACTCGCTTATTGGAGTCCAAAATCCGCCTTAGAAGGCCCATAAGAACCTTATCAAACTGCTCGTGCCCTTTCTGATGGCCAATGCCCTATAGTTGGCATATAAATATATTATAGATCAGGAAAGGCCAATAGAGAACAGCAAAAGCCAAAACTTTACTCAAAGATATGTAAATAACAAAGAACACGTTTATTTCACAGGACAGGACCCTCTGAGAAAGTTCCTTCCCGCTAGACTACTGCTTCCCCATGTTTGTTTTCTCGGAAGATGGTGGTTACAGTAGCAGCTACGAAAGCGGTTAGCCAGCCTTTCCCAACACTCTTATGTATGAGAGAAAGCAGCTTCATTAGTATTGAGGTGCGAAAGCTTTCCCAGGCTGATGGGAAAGCTCTCTTGGTGAACGAACTTTCCCATGGCCCCCGAAATGCGCTTTCACAAGAAGCAAACGTGCCTAAAATGAACATATATATTTCAGAAAAATCCCAACCAAATGCATGTTTGAACTGCACAATTCGTGTCATGTCCATTATAGCAACCTCAGGTGCAATTGCGGACATTCACCAATAAAGATTTGGAAGATGTTAATATAGTCGACTAATATATAAGTTTCTTAAAATTGCATAAAAATTATAGTGAACTAAAAGAATATGTTCCATTTTAAATAGGATACCTCTTGGCAAGTATAAAGTGTTTCAGATTGGACATGGAATAACCTTCTCTGGGACCATATGTACATAAATTTCTAAGAATTGTAAAAGGCAACAACTTAAACTATATCTACTTTTATGAACAATAAGCAATTAACAAAATGGGACCTTCAAGAATAGCGTTGGGCACAAGTTAAATTCAAGACCAATGCTTCGTGAACTCTGGAGGAAAAAAAAGATACGCACTGCTTTTAGAGAAAAAATAAAAGAGTAACAGATGATAGCGGCATCTATAGTTATGATATGCTCGACGACTAATGGGCACAGTTCCATTATCCTTTGCAAAATCGATAAGGAAGAGAAAATGACTACTTTTCTGGAGGGAGGCTTTTATCTTTGAAATATGGCATAATACAAAATTGTTAACCTGTGTTACCTGGATTCTTCAGTTTGGGCCCTTTACCAGTGTGGAGCATGCAATAACACCCATATTGCACCAATTCTCAAGATTGCTCAGACTGTTCCGAGATTTTATTGACTACATTGAAATAGACTTCATCTTCCTTTTTTTTTCTTTTTTTTTTTGGTATATCCACATTTGTTTTAGGGAAATTTTAGTAGCCACATTTTAAATCTGATTTAATTGGCTTCATATTTCACAAATAAGGCACAACTGTCTTTTCCATGACTATATGTTATATTATTATGTCTTAGCTAGGTGCTTCTTTATCATGAAAGGGACGATTAGTAAATTATATCGGACTCTTTGTATATTTTTGACTTGTGATATAATAAGCATATTAAGTAAACATATCACACGTGCACCCACATGCATTTGACATCACAACCATACACATGTCCAGGCAATCTAGTTGTTGATGATAATTATATCATTGGGAATAAAGGAGATAGCCACAACATCAGACGACGGCTTAGCCAGGACAGGGTTGCCATGGTGTCCAATGAACGCGCTTGAGGGTGTCACGAAAATGTAATGCAGGGCATTTGACAAGTGGCTGTGCATAAAGAAGTAAAATCAGGCTGCAGTGCTATGAGGATCTTGTGTGGATTTTCTTGAGAAGCAAGCATTGGAACTCCCATAAGCTCAATTATTCGAACATGTAGCCCTGTTTACGGTGATACCAATTTCACCTAAACAAGTTTCTTTGCCAAGTTTGTGTTGCATCAAAACCCAAATTCAATGATTACTACACATACAAAGTTCTTGTAGAAGTGTTTTTTTTTTTAATATAATTCTTGTAGAAGTGTTAAAACTATATTACCAAGATCTTCCCAAAGTACAAGAAAAATAGTTTTTCAAAAAATATCTTCTTAAAGTTCATAAAAAACCTAAGGCCAAGTTTTCTCCTCTGAGCAGCATTGTATCTTTCTGATGCCTTCAATTAAATTACTCCCAGAAGTAATTTAACTTCTAGGATGTTATGGATACATAAATTTTCAACATAAGGGAGACTCTCAGTCCTAATTATCCAAAAAGAAAAAAAGAGAAAACCTCAACAGGAGATTCTTGACATTCAACATATCCAAAATGGTCCATAATAAACAGAATACATGTATGAGGAAACCAGATAGGTGCAAAACTTGGAAGGAGCTGTGCGTCAAGAATCAGTAAAAGCAACCATTTGCGACCAGAGCTAATCCAGCAGATAGTCAAAGAATTAAGTATATTTCCAAATAATTTGAGCAACCAATAATTTACTTTGAAGAGTTTAATCCAGCACAATTGAACAAGAGCTTCCATCAAGTCCTCACAATATGTTTTCAGCGCAGCTTAAATCCACACTCAGTACAACTAAAAACTATACAACTAAAAACTATCTTATAGATAACATAATTATTGGAGTTCAAAAAGCAAACAATAAGCGCAAGTTAGAGAACGTGAACTTACCTGAACAACCCATTTGCTGTAGCGTGAAAGTGTCCAGCATGTAATACTCCTTATAAGAGGAAATTTGTCATCTATAAGTGGTATCAGGAATGATACAATCTGAAAATGATAACAATGAACCAGTGAAACCATCACCATGAGTAGCTGTAAGCATAGAGTTTGAAAAAGCATTACAAACTAGATATCCTAGAAAACCAAACGGGAAATAATAGTTGCTGCCTCCATGAAGTGGAACTATTTCGAATCATACGAAATCACTCAAAATTTCAAATAGAAGATCAGAAGAACTATATTAATACCTCAGGCAAATGAGGGTAGAGGCCATTAATACAGCCCTCGGCAACGGCACCAAGAGCCAAAACAGCAGCTTCCCTCTCTTTCCAGGAAGAATCATCAGTAGTAGCAAGCTTGGTCTGCAGAACGAAGATACAAATGACAGACATAGATAAGCATCAAGAAATGACGAGATTTGACCAAATATATACATCCTCCTAACTAATTAAGAAAAAAAGGTCATCTATGGAGTAAAACAATTTCTAAATACAAGGCTGACAACCATATGAAAGCACAGCAGCAATAGAATACATAACAAACAACATAGAACTCATTCACCCAACATCAGTTTTATGTTTTATACATATCTCTGGCATAGGTTTCTTAGTCAAATCGCACATATCACAGCCATTGAAACCCCTCGAAAATGATAAAGACCTCAATATTACAAGTACTTTCAACCATGCATTAGGAGAGAAAACGATTAAAGGATTTACTGAACCAAAATGGCTATGTTAGTCCCCAAAAACAGTTTGAATAAATGCAGATCAACAACAAGCAGAGTGTTAGCAATCGATCCCCAAAATATGTTGCCATTCAAGTCCATGGTGGATGCCCAGAACAAAATCAAGTGCATGGCAAATTCTTTTTTTTTTTTTTTAGTGTTAAGAGTAGGATGGGTGCACTGTTGTTAAGACCACAAGAGAGATTGAATTGGTGAGGACACTGAAAATACATCCGAGGAAACTTACGGGTGGCTTCAATAGGAGATAAGATGAGGAAAAGTTGACTTAAGTGGGGGTTAGCCATGTGTAGCGTAGACCTAATACAACACCAGTTAGGAGTAGCAATTTGGATCAAGTGGAAGGCCCTGAAAAGCCGAGGATAATGCCCAAAAGGACATCAATGGAAGTAGTGAGAAGAGATATGGTGACTTATGGTCTAACCGAGGGTATTGCCCTCGATACAGTCTAACCGAGGGTATTGCCCTCGATACAGCAGAATGGAGGAAGAGGATTCATGTAGCCGTCCTCAAATAGTTGGGATAAGGCTCGAATGATGATGATGATTACTGGCGCAGTCAAATCAGACGAACTGGAAGTGGTTCACTAGTCAAACTAGTCAAAAAAAATTAAAAAATAAGGAAAAATATAAAAAAAAAAATTTAATAAAAATATGGAAAATGAGAAATTTCAGAAAAATCAGAAAAGTATACCGTGTTAAAGAACCAAAAATAAAAACAAAGAATTAAAGAGAAGCTAATACTTGGACCCAACAAATGCATATAAGCTACCAAATAAACAAAAACCTACAAAAATAAGCTTATTAAAGTAAACCAACCATTAGACTCCATACAACAAATAACCTATTGCATTGATTTGAAAAAAAAAAAAATTTCTTGCAAAGCCCTAAAATATTGATTTTTACTGTTTTTCTAAACATAACATAAACAACACAAAAAGGGGTACAATAAACTTACTTAATTAGGGAAAATTGATGGCCAAAGTGCACCCAAAAGTGGCAGGATTCCCACCAAAAAAAGGGGCTTTCGGGTATGAGAAAGAGTGAGACACACTCTCTCTCTCTACTTCTAAAACCCCCAACCCCTCCTAATTTGGATACAGGACCAAATAAAAAAATGACCCAAAAATCAAAAAATGAGCTCATTTTTCTCTAATTTGAGACATATCAGGACTGGCATTTCGACCTGGAGTGGTCAAACTGGCCAGTCCATGGGTTCTGCGCCGGTTCGCTGGCCATTCTGGTGCAGGAGGTTTGGACCGACTAGAAAAGCCACCGATCTAGTGGTTCCAATTTGGACCACCCTGTCAGCGGTTCCTGGCCCAGTCTAGCAGTTCCCGACCTTGTTCAGTCTTAACATCATTGGTGTATGGTGGAAATGTTCAATGTCAAACACTAATCGATACTTTCAGAATCTACAATGCAGCAAAGTTGACAAGGTCACCAACCTCCCAATTATTAAGCATGAAACATGGATAATGGCAGATGGTACAAGCTCACTTTGAACCAGTTAGTTTTCCAGGAAATTCAAGGAAGTTGAACAAGTTTAAAACACAGAATCAGAAAAACCGGAGAGACAAACATACACCCTAGCATAAATCAGATTATATTCTGGATGGACAGCACATTTTTCTGATTGACGCAAACTTTGTAATAAAAACCATTCAACCAATAAAGAACACAATTGCTCAAGAGCATTACTGATCAGCTGAACGCTGATCAATGGCATCCAGTTTGCATGCCAGTTTCAACAAAGTATTAAAAATTACTTAGAAAAAATTCCAGAAAATGTAACAAAGTTAACAATACCTAGTAGGGAAGAAAGCTTTCTACAGAACCCTAAGTAACACATTGTTAAGAAATCAAACCCCAAAACCACATTTAACAATGTCGCACAAGTATTATTATTTAGGAACCCAAAAGTGGAGCTAAGATATCCCTAGGGGAAAGATTTGCCAAAATAGTTAGGTACCCAGGGGCTTTTAAACTGCCCATGCATATACAATGCCCAGGCAGAGGCAGGCCATTTGTGTTCCCCTTCTAAGGCAGCCCCATCCTAAGAGCGAGGTGCCCAAGAAGCTGCCAGCCCGCTTTTGACATTTAAGGTATTTCCACTCAAACTATTCCCCACCGCCCTCCATATGACTGTGCCCACACCATTAACACTTCAAAAATGAAATGTTGTAACGTATAATATCCCAAAAGAATGCCTAGACTTCCAAAATGACAACCAGCTAATCACAATATTTTCTCAATTAATGTATAATTAAGAAAAAGTTCATGATACAGTTAACCCCTACATCACTCCGATTTCTATTTCTCATGTTCCAACCTACAATACCTCCTAGGCTCCATTCCCACCATTAACACTACAAAATGAAATGTTGTAACCTACAATATCCCAAAAGAATGCCTAGTCAGGCTTGGTTCAAGGCGGTAGTAGTTGGGTTTTCATAGCACTACGTCTCAAGTCCCATTCCTATGTACCACTTGTCAAAAACAAAAAAAAAAAAGACTTCCAAAATGACAACCAGCCCTGACTACACAGAATGTGTACAACAATCACAATAATTTCCTCAATTAATGTATAATTAAGAAAAAGTTCATGATACCAGCAAATCGACACTAGATACAAATATTAATAAAAATCTCAAATAGGTTTTATTGATAAATGAGCCAATTGGATTGATCAAAACTAATGGAATGACTAGACTGCTGAAAGTGATAGCATAGCTTACTTGAACCAAAGGCATCAAAGTCGGAAGAATCTCATCTCCAAACACATTTGAGAGGACGTCAAGGGCTGCAGCACTACATTTTCTCAAATTCCATACATTTATAATGTCATCATCCTGAGTAACAAATAAAATCAAATCCATAAATTAGCACATGATTGAGAAACGCATAGAATAAAGAAATGCCTCCAGAAAGTTCAGTCACAAATGATGCCTATTGACTGCCATGTTTTTCTAGAATAAATCAATTATATAGTAAAAATGTCCCATCACTCAGTTGAACTACAAATTTCAACAAATGAAGAGAACATGAAAACAATACAGAGTGCACAGATGGACACATACATCCTCCTCATCAACATTGTCTGCTCCATGAAGCCGTGATGAATGGAAACGTGGCTTTAAATCCTGTGGACAAGTGAATGTCCTGAATAACTACCAAACCTTAAATTTTTACAATAAGACAATATTGAAACAAAAGAAGTAAATGAAAGGAAGCCAACTAAAGCACAATACTAGGATCATTAAAGTAAGCACATCAGAACCTGATCCCTGTCCGGAACAGAGTCGTCATCCTGCACAATATCGCTGGAGGAGGTAAGGCAATCCGCAATTAAAAGCAAAGTACACTAAAACTCAATCGACAATGGGAAAACTATACTCCAATAATTTGTCATCATCCATTCAAGAGAGACTGTGAGAGAGGTAGGATTTCCACAAGAAGACATGCTTCCAATATTGGCTCCATTCTCTCTTCCTAACCACCCATCACTTAAATGGACAGTGATGACAGAGTGGACTGTGGTTTTCCCATAGTCCATATGGCATACTCTCCCTAAACTAAATGAATTCTGCAAAGCAATGTGACAAAATGTTTGTAAGAAAGAAATATCAAGGGTATTCACCTCAGCATCGACAAGTGCCTCATCATCCTCAGCATAAATCATATTTGACAACAGAACCTATATAATATAACTAATCAACTCGGTCCATGTAATACGTCTATAAATATCCAAAACAGGACAATGTAAAGTAAGCTTTGCATAGAAATAGCAACATACAGGAATCAGACGCGGCAAGAATTCTCTGAGGCCATCATAGTGTGTATGAGCTTCACAGTATGCTGACCTGACCACCAAAAGCGAGAATGATACAATATTGGCCACAAGATCATTCCAGGGGGCAAATATAAGGGAAACTACATTTGCTGGTGTCAAGCCTCAACCAAACTACCACATCATTATCATATACTGATCTGATGTCAAAACAAATAAAAAAAGCTTATGCTGGTCAACAAGAAAAGTACCAAAATTCACAAGCTTCTAGTGCAACCTCATCATCTGGATCCTTATTTGCTTGCAACATGTATTCAATAACATTATTCAGGTGTGGCTGCCAAGCAAATAATTGACATTTAAACAATCAAAAAAATATGAAATTATAGCCAAAACAATGCTTCCACCGCATTTCAGAGAAACATCAGAACCAAACTAAGAAGCGACCCGATTCTTACAACAAAGAAAAGAAGCAAATTGCCAGTCTTTGTACAGATAGCAGAATGCCAATGAGAAAAGTTAACCAATTTACAAAAAATCATTAATGCAATCTAATGTGTGCAAGGCTAGAGGAAAGCAGCACAAACATCGTATCAAATAGCCCATAAATAAAATGGGAGTGTCACACAAGAGTAAATGAAATGGAATTTTAAGTCTACCTCCAAAAAAGAGGGCTGGACTTCAATTAATTGAACCAGTGCCCCACAGACCTGAGAATTATTCCAAACAAAAATGAAACACTTAGGATAGGATGAATTGGTTGGCAATGACATCCAAATAAGCAAAAAAAAAAAACAAAAAAGCACTCATGAACAGCAACCCAAAAGACAGGTCCAATAGATGCGTAGGAGCATACAATAAAATATGGTAAGCATGTTATTCGAGGTCTGGCAATAGTATACTCAATGGCAATTATTCCAGCCTTATTGAAATCTCTTCTTGCTTTATGTACATTAGTATACACCAATACGGAAACAAGTAAAAGAATGTCACTCAGAAATTTACCCAATAGCACCACGAAGTACATTATTGGAAAAGGATGAGCAGTCATGGGCTTAATATAAAATGGCAATCATAAAAATAATTTCTAAAATAATGCATATGCCTACCAATTTCCGCACTTCTGCTGTAGGATCATTGGCAACAAGAAACAAACCCTGAAGGTATTGATCCATATTTAGAAGCAAAGACTGAAAAAAAAGAGGAGAAAAATTGTTATTCAGTTATCATAGCATATAACACTGAAGGTAAGACCTCCGTGCAAGAACAACATCAACAAATGCATGTACTTACAGTGGGCATCATGACAATGAACTGATTTATAGATCCCAAAGAAAATTTTCGAAGAGAAGGATGAGGGGACTGAAAAAACTGCAATAGATGAGAAACAGATTCAGTCAAGACCACGGTTTATAAATAAAACCAAGGGAGGCAGCAAGCAGAGAACATATACCCACCCGAAATAGCCTTGGCAAGAATACATTAATCGGCCGTTCTGTCATTCCTGGTACATCTGTATCAAGCTCTTCTGGAATGTCTTCACACATCTGTGGGATCCCATTGCGGGATTTGGTAATGAAAACTAAACATTATATGTTCAAATTTAAGCCACATTGTGTATGATTCTACAAAATAAATATTACAAAACATGCATTTAATTAAAAGCAATCATTCTTTGAACTTGAAGGTTGAATAAACTGAAAACTTGCACAATTCAACTCATCCCTGAAAACAATTATCAGGTTGCCGTACTTAGCTTTAGAAGAGTGCACAGTTACAAACTGGCTTTGCTTTCCTATACAATAGAGTTCTATAATTATCTGATATATGGAAAATCAAAAAGGAAGCAAATATCAGAGATTCATAATTCAGACTAGAACATTCTGGAGAGCAGCAACTGCCAACTGCCAATTCTTGAAGCCTGTGAAAGAATTGAACAACACAGACCCTAAGGTACAGAGCCTAACTGCCTAACATCAAGACTGCTTAAAAGGTAAGGACCATTTACTCAAATATGAAATCATTTCCACAGAAACTAAAAATATCATATCTAAGCATAGGCAAGAAAAAACATGCCCCTACACTGATGGCAGCTGTAAAAGACTATGTCATCTCTTTCACCATCTCCAATCACTGCAGTTCCTTTGAGAATTTCAGAAACACCCCCAGCACCAAGCCAGTGCACAAAAAAAGCTGCATCCTGAACTTCCAAAATGAATATCAGAGACACCATCATCCTAAATCTGCATCTCTGAACTAGATCACGACCCTGCCAATCCTCTAAATATACATAATGCACAGTTACCTCTATGTGCCCAAGGTAACCATGTGAGCGATGATCCACTACTGGTAGTCATACAAGATATGGTAGAAATACAGTTCAGCAGCATCCTTCTTGTTACTTCGAAGTTTACAAGATTTCGAGTCCCCACTTTACAAAGTAATATAAATTATTAAGGACAATTTTAGAATATTGACAAACCCAATTGGTCCCTCTGAGAGTTACATATTCAATGTCTTAAACTTTGAATACAAGATTTTCATTTTTTTTTTCCTAAGTCAGATCTTTGTATGCTTTAGTTTTCGAGATTAATATTTATCATGCCCTATCATTTCATGTCCTATGGTTACACATTTTAGATAGGATAACCATGCCCATATCCGTGTTCTTGAATCTGGGGAACAAATTTTAGCCGTAGTTGTGCTCCCCATTATCTGTGCACATATCCATATCCATGCATCACAGCTCCAATTGCTATAGTAAATAATTTTCAAGACAACTAGTAACTAGTAAGAAGACAGATTAGAATAGAGAAGAAATTTATTAGTTGATGCTACACAAATTTCCAGTAAAGTACTGGAGAAGCTCAACGATCTTTTTATTTTATTTTTGTTCTTTCTTTAGACCTTTCCTTTTATAAATTACATTTTATAGGCCAAAGGAATTGTTAGTCATCTCATAGAAAGGAAGTTGACTTTTCCCTTTTCCGGACTCCACCCAATAAATGAGAACAACGATCCTGACAATAGACTTGTACATGACATGGTTAAAGAGTTTGCCTATTCAGGAACACTAACCGATTGCAGAGATAATAGGTATATATAAAGAACGTAAAAATAATAATAATACAGCACAAAATTACTAGGCACAAAATTCCTAGGCTCGTGAAGTAACTTGAAAATAAAGCATTACGAAAAATGAATACTACAAACATAAAGGGGTGTCTGTTCATGTGTACAGTAATCCATCCCTTATTCTAGCACAACGATCATGATGTGTCACACACACCCCTTTTTCATTGATAAAGTTAATTCTCAACACAAAATATGAAACACAAAATATGGCATACAGATTCATAAAGACATCAAATAAACGCTACATATGATAGTGATCCTGGGCCTCTACGGGTTTAGTTTTTATCGGTCTTGCCAGACTGCATTTCATGTGAGAAGTCTTCGTAGCACAATTTTAAATCCATTTCTACTTCTACTAGGCAAAAAGCATTTTCATTTCTACAGAGCCCACACTGAATGGAATTTACAGCATAACAAAAATCGACATAGAATCTTATAGTCCAGAGTGGAGCAGCACAGTGTTTAGTTTACAGCAGAGCCATTTTAAATCGCCAAAAAAGACGTAATACAGAACAGGACCAAAAAAGACGTAATACAGAACAGGACCCATTTACCTTTGACAAAGCATCCATAGCACCCTCCATGTGATTCAAATCATTACTATCCAAACATTGTACTAATGCTTGCAAAAGCTCAGGCCAGCCAAGAACACGCACTTGTTGAACAATGACACTGACAACTGAACCAACCGTAGACCTGATGTGCCTGTCTGGAGCGCCCAAGCAAGGTAATAGTTCTGATTTAATGTACTGCTGATATGATGGAGCCATCGAATGGAAAGCAGTTTTCAAATTATTTTTCAATAATAAACCAGCCGCTTGTCTCACTTCAACCGATTTTCCCTGCTTATAACAATACATTACAAACATTAAAACTTTAACATCGCACCAAGAGATTAATCAATTAAGAATATCAAATATAACATACTGATTTCACATTCCAAATCAAACTACAATAAGATCAAAAGTTTCCTGAGGACCAACTCAAATAGAGGATCTAAATCCATCAGCAGTGCATTTCACAGTTGACACAATTTATGCTAAATTGCGATTGAAACCCACTCAGACAAGCATCACAATTGTGACAATCATAAATAAATATATCTTTGAGAAATACATTTATCAAAAACAGAGATGATTGTGAAACTAATGGATAAAGTAAGTCCTAACTGACATGAGTTAGATTACATATCTCTGGCCTCTGGGAAAACAAGTAATCTTGAAATAAAACAAGTAAACTTGAATTCAAGAATACCAGAGCATTGTATCATGTCAATTACGTCTTCTGCCAATTTAGCTCAATATGCACACTGCTGTCTGTTAAACAAGAAGTCACCCTGTTAACTTTGTAGATGCCAATTGGAGACCACAAGCCATTCCAATTTCTTACATTATTTATAATAATTAACATTTCATTGAGTCTATCGTTTTACTGGAGGGCATATCCTAAAGTACCCAAAAGCCTTCATTTATCTCCTCTGGATACTCATCCTTCAGATTCCTACAAAACTGAGAACGCCATGTTACTTATTTTCCTATATCTCATAACTGTCCCTACATAACATTCCATCATCATCTGAGCCTTATCCCTACCTAACACTTTATTTTAAAAAATAAATGTAGTCCTTGTTCCCTAAGAAACACCCTGTGGTTGCTCAACAACCCAGCGAGTGGAAATGGAGCCATGAGAGAGTGTCATTGCAGTGTATGTTCCTGCAAAAGAAATCCTGCTAACCACCCCCCTCCACCTCCAAAAGAAACATAAAAGAAAAATTCATCTTCCCCCAAACAGTTGGGTAAGTTTGGATAGACCACTAAACATGACTTCTACAATTTTTTTAACAAGCATTTTTTTTTACCCCTCTTGTATGTAAAACACCCCAAATTGAGGGTAAACCAGAAAAAAATTGGGGGAAAAGAAAACTCCTTTGTCCATATTCTAGATTTGCAGTTGACATATACACATAAAAGGTTCGTATAAACTGGGCCCGATATCCCACTTGAAAGAGAGAACCCAAAGTGGATATCCTAGAATCGCAATGGCTACCCAGCTCTCACACACTCCAACCACTCCTGCATTGCAATGCTACAAAGACACAAAAAAGTATTCCAGCATCTGATACAAATAACGTTGCTGGAAATACCAACTCCAAATTTGGCCTTTTAGACACAACATGTACGTACATTACAAAGGGGGGAGGAAGTGGAATTTTATTAAACTTAAGTACTTAGCTACTAATAATACAACTAGAAGAAAGGTGAATTGAAGTTCAGTCATGGCATGTCGACACATGCCAAAAACCTAGGACATGTGAGTCCAAGTTCCACAGCTGCTTTGCCCAAATGGCTGTTCAGATTAATTGAAACAAACAAGTAACTTGGGATCCAAATGAAAGAGAAATGAGGTATCTGTGCGGTACGTTTTCCATTGAAAAAATAACAACAGCAGCTACTATTTTTTTCTTACAATCTAGGAAATTAGAAAATGAAATTGAGCAAGTACTGCTGCAAAAAGAAAAAATTCTTAGGCAGCAGCTAACATGCAAAAGCAAAAATGCAACCTTATAGAACATCATCATCATCCAAGCCTCATCCTAATTACTTGGGGTCTGCTACTCAACCTTATAAAACCTTTTTTTTTTTATAAAGATCAAGCTTATAACACTTCGGGTGTGTTTGACACATGGAATTCTTGGGAGTGGAAGGGATTCTCCCACAAATTATGGACAACTGCTCTTCCATCATTTTTGATGGAAGAGAGGTCTTCCAAAAATTAACCCATTTTAACACTAAAAAATAGCTGCATGAAGGTCGCTCTTCCACTATACGGCTTCCACACAGTAATATCGAACATGGAAGTGGGACATTTAACTCCCACTTCCAGAAACTTCCACTCATCAAACACGCCCTTAAGGAACTAAAATCCAACATTCACTCCAGAGAAAAATGAACCTAAATCCACTAGGTAATATCTCTTCTAAAAATGAAAGGTTATGATTTGGCATGCAATCCTATTCTGATGCATAACATTTAGAAAAATAAGGGGAAAAAAAAGGGCAAAAGCGGGCTTCAGCAATTATCCTTCTGAAGGGGTTTCAAGGGAAAGCTTGGATATAATGGGACAGAGGCAATAAGAGGGTTTACGTAGTTTTACAAGGGTACACCTTACTTCTAAGGAAAACAAAGAGAGATGGCATAGGTGGTGGGTCACAAGTGATTGTCCAAGTACTTTTACTGATATAAGGAGACAGTATCTGCAATATATGTTTCGCTATTGGACTTTGACAGTGAAACCTGTAACATCCAATGTTGGATTGGTACAAGTGTTCATTATGGAAGTTAATGCAAGTAATTCACCAATGACTGCTTGTGCACAAGCTGGTCTGCACCATTAAAATGACTAATAAACCCACAAAAAGAAAGGACAAATGTCATATCACAGTTTGACTAATGTTGGATTAAGCAGGATAACTCTTAGGAAATGGAGTTCAATTCTTCAGCAGGCTTTTTTGAGGCTTGAAGCTTTCAGTTTAACTAAATACATTTATACCCAAGAGAAATGAAGAAAAACCAACACACGAATCTCTCTTCTTTTTTAGATAATAACACAAATATCTCATTTTAAAAATGGATGGGCAGAAGCTATTATTGAGCGTAGAAAAAATTTGTAATAGTTTAAATAACCCTAATACAACCAGCATAGTGTGCAAAATAATTTGGGACAATCACTCGGCCATAGATATTGAGCTGCTATAAGATGGAAATGACTATTTGTGGCTAGGAGACATTGTTTTAAGCCCTGTAATTTTAAGGGGACAAGGAGAGAGCCCTAGAGATCCTCAAAATACAGGAAAACAAATACCAACTGTTCCAATCTTCAGGTGGGGATATAAAGAAGACCAAACCCAACAATTGCATCCAATTAAGATGCAAAGGAACCTAAGACAGGCACAATGATAAGAAGATTCAACAGTAATAAAAAGGACACAAAAAGCTTTCAACAAGTCAAAACTTATAGCCAAAGGATTCCACAACACGAACCAATACAAAAATCCCCTACGAAAGCCTTCATGCTAGACACACTTCCAATCAAGCATATATTCAAATACCCATTGGTTTGAAATTGCAACCCAGACCAAAATTGGAGGTGGAATACATGTATATATGCCAAAAAAGCAAATTTCCGAGACCTACAGTAAAATCCCAGACTTATTTCATGCTCTCCCCAACTGAGATTAATGGCCCGATGCACAAGACAAAATATGACAAAACCCAAATTCCCTTTTTGGCTTTCCTTCGTTCCGATACCCTTACCATAACACCTACTGAGTAGCTTGAAGAATAGAATTGCAATTCCTAGAGATAATACAATTCAATCTTACAGCATCTTAACTCAACAGACTCACATAAACCTCGCACTCCAATCGAATTCATCAGAAATCACAAACTATTTTTACCAGAATGATTGCAGATAATTGCACATAGAGAGATAACAATAAGTACCTGTGCTCTAGCAAGAATGAATGCAAGATAGTTATTGAAATCAGGGAACTGGGAGTAGTGTTGCAACTGTTGCCATATGCGAGCTTGATCAGAGGTTGGGGATCGATATTCCTCTAAAAGCCCACAGATCTCTCTCAGCCCATCTTCCTGCGGCTGCCATATGCCAGTGGCCATGTTTCTACCTGCCAAACCAACACAAAGTAGAGAGAGAGAGAGAAAGAGAGTTCCTTGTTCTCTCTGTTAAAGGAGATAGAGAAAAACTAAACGACCGCTGCGTGTTAGAGAGAGAGAGAGCTTTTCGGTGTTTCAACAAATGAAATGAGATATATTGCAGAGAGAGAGAGGTGGTCTCGAGTTTCTCTTTACTGTCTGCCAAGGGGAGGGAAGAGAGAGAAGACAGGCAAATGTTTATTGTAGAGAGAGAGAGAAAGAGACGACAGTAGAGAGAGAGAGGGGAAAGGTCTAGAGAGAGAAAGAGCCGAAGTAGAGAGAGAAAGGAAGGGGAAAGGTCTATTGAGCTTTCTCTCTCTGGGGGCAGTATTTGTGAGCCCTCTGTGTAAATATATTCCCCATAGGCACTGGGCAACGGAAATTTTCACAGGAAATTACTATTCCGCCCTTGAGCAATGGGATTTGTTATATAGGAAATGACAATTATGCCCTTGAAGGGCGGAAGGGCCGGTGATTGATATGCCCTGCTTCTGTACGACTGCAACAGAAATAGGGCACCCATATTGTATGGAATGGCAATAACGGTAGCCCCCACTCCTCATTTCTTTTGAATGGCAGGTCTATTTTGCACTAATTTTTTAGAGTTAAGCTTTTTATTAGGGTCGGCTTAAAAAGGGCAAGGGATAAGTCTACACAGATATGGTTCTAAACTATGACAATAAAAGATGTGGGGGACTTATAGTTTCAATGAAAGTATGCCTTAATACAACATAATGGCATATCAAAATTCATAGAGCCGATTCTAATTAATTAAGAAATTGGCTACTCATTTTGTATAGAACGCATTACTGCTCATTTATTTTGAATGGCATGTCTATTTTGCCCTAATTGTTTTAGAGTTTCTTTTTTTATCAGGGCTTACTTAAAAAGTGCAAGGGGTAAGCCCAAAAGATATGGTTCGACGCAGTGATAAAAGATATACGAGACTTATGTCCTCAATGAGAGTAAGGCACTTAATGGAGCAGAATAGCACATCAAGATTCATGTTGTCGGTCTCAATTGATTGGAACTGTGACTTTTGATAAAACAGAATAGTGGATCAGGATTCATGTAGTCACCCCCAATCAGTTAAAAACAAATATAATAACTTTGAACAATTTTAACCATTATATATTTATTTTTGCCCCAATCAGGCTTCTTTATCGATTAAAGTACACCCTAGAAGTGACTTCCTCTATTTGGTTAGTAACCAGAGAATTGCATGAATTTGTACAAGTTTACCAAGTCAAGATAGTCAATACTCACACACAATAATGTAAGTTGATTCGTGCCATCGACTAATGGGTCTTCAATTTTGTTTGTTCCCAAATATTGAGGATGATAGACACTGACATTTGCAAGAAGGTCCAAACAACATATTCTTTTCTCGTGGGTACTTTCTTCCTTGTTTCCTTATTTGCCAAATTTTCTTGTTGATATTTTGATGGTGCAAAAACCCAGATGTAATATTTTCTTTAAAGCTTGTCTAATAATTGTAGCGTTCAATTTTCGGTAGGATTGTATACTTTGGGTTTGTTTGGATGTATCCATTGTCACTAATAACTCAATATGTCAATAATTGATATTAATAACAAATTATTTGTTGTTTAATAATGTCTCTTATAAAACTATTGGAATCTTTTAGGTAAATTTACATATAGGTATTTTTTTGGGATGCTTTTTTTATTCAAATAACTTACGAAAAATTATATGTTATAACCAATGTACTAGACCGCTAAAGATATTAGAGAAACATATCATATGGGACTAACTACTTTTGATATAAGGAGTTCATAATCATCATTAAGCATTAGATTTGAAATCGGGTGATTGAGGTTGTGTCATTAGTAGAATACAAAGTTCAAAATAAAGTTTCTTGAATGTTGTGATACAGTTTCATCTATTAGACCTTGCATCTTATAGCTAAAAGTGAATGCAACTTCCTTGTACTAAAAATAAATAGTCTTATGGCATACAGTCATCTTCTAATGAAAATTTTGAGAAGGGCTCAAATTTAATTGTTTAGAGCTTCGGCTCTAATATAAACATTTTCCTTAGTTCAATGGTACCAACATAATCTTGGGGTTCTCTTGTCCTTTGAACCCTTGAGTTGAAGATTACATAGATAATCTTATGTGAAATAGCCCTAACCAATGTCAATATGCCCGAAAGCTCTTAATCAGTAGAGATGATCACACATCACAATTAATCATTCTCAATGTCTGCCTCTACTGGTGTAACTGCGATGAAACTTCGCTTTTGTGAGATAACCGCGACAAATCTTCATTCAACGCAATATTGGGGTTAATGCATTATGAGCTCACTTTCCCTCTAACTATGAATCTCACTTCAGCTAGCTTGAGGGTCTACTATGGCAAACTATATCCAACTACGCTCAGAACCGAGTGATTCAATTGACCATGACAAAAGATCACCCTTAGTCATGGTGCTCAACAAGCTTCTGACAAACTAAGAAACCAAATCAAAGCTTCCATTTGAGGCTTGATTCTTAATCTAGGTCAAAACAATAATTTTGGGTTTCATAAAGTACTATACTCGGATGGTCTAAGAAGGGTGAGACCCTTAAATTTTCCCTTAATCTATCCTAAGCCAGGTAAAAGTAGTGGTTTATGTTAAGTAGGCAGCTAACATAAAAAAATTTCGAAACTTTTCAAAAGTAACTTATCCCAAATAATTGAGAAAATTCTATGATGACGATGATGAAAGTGTTGTACTCGACGGTGCAAAGAGAGCTTCACAACAAAGTGGAAACCATTTAGAGGAGATTACTATTCATAGCCAATGTCATTGAGACAACACAGTGAAAGTCACATAGAAGCAGGATTTTCAAAACTTTTGATTGTCCCACACTTAAGACTGAGAGAGCCATGAAATGCTTCAAATGCCTTCGAAAGACTGGTTTCCCTCGGCACAAATTCTATTTGTGATGCTATCAAGTCCACAGCAAATAACCTTTTTTCTTTTTTTTTAACAATGCAGTCCACGGCAAATAACTCCCAAGATAAAATTTGAGTGGTTGAATGCTTGTTAAAGTACTATCACAGTTGCACTGCTTTATAGGGATTATTACAGATCCCGATGTAACAAGATTTAATTGTCTTTTGACATAGAGCCCGTATACCTCAGGCAAAACAGTAATTTGGGAGGATTTTTTTAACCAAAATTTTGAAATCTATCTAAATATCAACAATAATTATTCTCAAGAAAATTTGGATTTAAATTCTCGAAAATATAGATATTGCCCTCCAAAAAATTGGATTCTTCCTGTTAAATAATAGGACGTTGATTTTCTTGAGGTGCACGGAGAGTTTATTTATTAGTATTATTTTCTTTAAGTTAAGTCGTTAGCTTATAGAGACTACATACCCAAATTCGGGGTCTAAAAAATATTCTTAACATGAGTTTATCCCAGGGGAGCAAATGAACAATATTGCTTTTTATGGGAGCATCAAATATTTTCAATTGGCATAAATGCCACTACTAGTAAGAAAGATGGACGAATACTTGGGAAATTAACAGAAAAATTTTCATTTTATTTTAGGAATTTAAAAATTATTTTATATATTTATATTTTACACTCAAGTCCCACTTATTTATAATGAATATTATATTTTAATTTTAAAATTTTGTATATATCTAATGAAACCAAATTTTAAGTATCCATATTTTCCAAATAACCAAATAACCCAATAAACTAGAAAAAATATGGGGTATTTTGGTTATGTTTTTAATCAACTGATGACGTATATGTGTATTCTTTTTTTAAAAAAAATCGTATGCTCATGTCCCCTTAAAGTAACATTATTGTAAAATTACCCACAATTTTTTTGTTTTTTATGCTCATACTCTCTTTTCCATTTTTTTGCCCAAAATGCCTTGGGATCATCAAGATCTTAACAACAACTTCTTATCCAAGTGCCAAACAATATTTTTGTTATGATTTTGGACCTTCATAGTCCAAAGTCAAGTTTGTTTGCTATGAGTGTGACCGTCATTACCTAAAGTCCAGATTGTTGAATGATTTCGAATCGTCAACATCTTATGTCATTTATACAATTCTTGATTTTGGACATTGAAAGCATGATTTCTCAACTGCTGACTCATGCAGCTTCGGATTTTGAAGATCTAACCTTATATGTGGTATTAGCTTCAGACTATGAAAATACAAAGTTAATACTTCAAGTCTTAACTTTGAATCTTCAGCATTCGAAGTTAATAATTATTTTCTCACATTGGATCTCAAAGAGACTTGGGCCTTGAAGGTTTAAAAGCGTATTTTAGAAAAAATCAATAGTAAAAAAGTGGAAAATGTCAAGAAACGGTTGGAACTGTTATAATATCATTAAAGGAGTCAAAAGATACAAATTGCATTTGAGCGCACGCTTTTAAATTTTTATATCAATCATGTACGTCCTAAAAAAATGTTGGGAAGCCAAATAATTAGAGATACTTTGATAATTTTATCCTAAAGAGGCCATAAGTGAATAACATAAGCACCTCTTTTAGGAGTAAAATTCCTCAAGTACTCCTAATTATTGTAACTTCCCAACACTAAACAAAGGCAAATTCAGATTTTATTCAACATTTTTTTAGAGATAGTTATGATTGATATAGAACTTTAAAAGTTGTAAGCTTTTGACCCCTCTAGTGATATTGTAAGGGGTTTCAACCCCTTTTTTGATATTTTTCTAAAAGAATATGAACATAAAAAATGAAAACAAATACATGATTTTATAATGGAAAGGAATATAGTGGGATCATTTACATTTTCTACAAGATGGTCATAATTAATCTTTGACCATAAGAAGAGAAATTGGGTAGTGCATTTATTCCATTAACCAAGCTCAAAGTTCAAAATAAATTTTCTCAAATTTGCAACGTACCCAACTTATCAAATTTCATATTGTATGGTTATAAATAGTTGTCATTTCCTTGTACCAAAGATAATGATCTTATTGTATATAACTTTTTATAATAAAACTACATGCAGAACATAACTTGATTGTAAAATTCACTTTATCTTCTATTGAAAGATTTTAGACCTCCACCTTAATTATACAAAGAGACGATTTAAATTTTGTATAAGGAAGTCACAATTACTCTTGTCTTTTGGATTGCAAATAAGGTGGCTGAAAGAGTGTCACTGAAAATACTAAAAGTTTTTTTAAGATTTCATGACTAGCCCAAGCCATCAAATTTGACATCTAATTAATAGGAATGACTGTGACATTCATGAGACCATTTACCTTTGGTACAAAGCAATCACAATCGACCTTGACTATTGAATGTGAAATTGGGTGGCTGAATTTATTTCATTAACCAAGCTCAAAGTTCAAAATAATTTTTTTCAAACTTTGTAAGACACTTAAGCTATCAGATTTCACATGAGATACTAGTAAGTAATTGTGACCTCTCACTACCAAAGGTACATGGTCTCATTCTATACAATCGCTAAAGTTAAATAGTCTCGTTGTATACAATTCCTATACGTTTTACCATGTGAATATTATATAAATATTTTTTTATGAAGGACAAAATTTCTATAACGACTAAACTTCATGAAAACAAAATGAAGCCTCACCTAAAATCCTCAAATGAGACATACTTTCAATATTGGAAATCTCCACACTTTTCAATACCAATAACAAAATTTGAAACTCAAAAAATGGTGTAGATCTTGCAGATAGTGAACACCTATTCTCAGCGTAAAATGGTCAGTCTAGCTGATTTATTGCGATATATATTATTTTTAAAATTTTAAATTCTAATTTGATTCATTTAAGAGTTGCCCGACGTTTGAATTGCAACTTTCGTTGAGTTATGAGGTGAAGCTTTACTTATTTTGATAGGGCTGCAGCCTTTTCCTTCTATAAATCATCTTTAACTCGATCGAAGGAGAGATGGCATGTTCATATAAGAGACTGTAGGGAGAGAGAGAGAGAGAGAGAGCATGTTCATATAAGAGACTGTTCGTAAGAGCGAGAGAGAGAGACCGTGCTCTTATGAGCGAGAGAGAGGCTGTTCGTATAACAACACACTTAGTGGCTTTAAGAGACAGAGAGAAGAATACACTGTTCTTGTAGCATCGAATTCACTGATCATCGGGTATTTGAGTCTTCGAAAACCTTTTATTCAATTAGTTTATGATTCATTGGAAGTATTCATCATGAAATAATTTATGTTAACCCCTATGAGATCAGCATTTTCTATCTGTGAAACAAGTCTCATTTATATACAATTAGATTTACAGCAATGCACCACCTGCAGTAGGGTTGTTGCGTTGTTGTTGTTGTTTTGTTGTTCTTATTATTAGTGTATTGCTATTATTTATTTATTTATTCTTGTTGTTGTTGTTGTTGTTATTGTTGTTGTTGTTGTTGTTATTGTTGTTGTTGTTGTTATTGTTGTTGTTGTTGTTATTTGCATGAATAATGTTGTTTTCTAGCAAAAATGTCAGGAATTGATGGCATCATTCTAGATATAATTCAATCTGAGAAATTTGCTTTGTTTTCGACTGTTGTTTTCCACACTATTTGATGCTATTTTTCTTATGAGTTATGAATGTTAGTGCATTTCCATACATACGCATGCTATTTTCCGGCGGACAACTCTGTTAAGAATTGCAAGGATTGCAAAAATCGAAGAAGATGAATTTGCACATGTAACCTGACTCTATATTGGCATTTCATTCTATTTACCAAGCAGTGATGTTGACATTGTATCATTCATTTGTGCTTCTGTTTAGTCTCGTTCTTTGAAATTGTTTTTCCTGCCTTTCCACTCTACAGTTATATGCCATTGGTTGTGTTTATGTGCATATTATCCACATCTTACAAGGTTTTGTAATAGTGACTCAGAAGGTTAAACACTTATCATATAACCTTCTAGTTTCCCTTATGAAGGCAGCCACCTTGTGGTTTAATTTTAGTTTTCGGTTCAATATTTCTGTTTTTGTTAAAGTATAAGTCTCTCTGTTGTCTCATGTAGCTCTTGTAGGTCATCTAGTGGGCTAATAGGGGCAAGGTTTATCATATTCTTAGATTTTATTAAATTGAGTAAAACCCATGGGAAGAGTAGGAAAACCCTCAATTACATTTCCTTTTTTCAGCATTTTGCAATTGGTAGTCATCTTGGGAGACCACCCTAGGGGTCTTGTTTATGTTATGAATTCTATCCTTTCTAACTATCAAACAAAAGAAACAAGTCTTTATTGTAGGATCTTGAGAAAAAAAAAGAAAAGAACTGTATCCCCCAAATTTAAAAGGGTCTCCATCTCTCCATAAGATTCAAACGTATGCAAATGAAGAGTCCAATTCTCAGATTCATGCCATTAATTTCATCTCTCTCTTTGTGTGATATTTTTTATTTTTTTTGGACAAAGTAACAATATACGTTCAAATTAATATAAAAAAATTTACAAAATTCTCACAAGATGTGAATGCTGGCATCCCACAAGTCAGGTGCTTGTACAAAAAGATGATGATCACAAGCTGATGCCATATTTTCATATTAGGGAGCTATAACCTGTATTTCATAGGAAGGAGCGTGTCTCTATCCTTCAGGTGCTTGTACAAAAAGATGATGATCACAAGCTGATGCCATATTCTCATACTTGCAAAATTCAAGTAAAACAAGCTTGAACATCAATACAGTTAACATATTTAAAAAAAGAAAAAAACAAGCTTGAACATCCAATATTAATTTCATAAATTTTCAGTGATGTGTTGTGAAGGCCAGAATCCCAAGATATATGCTTATACTGATGCTAAACAATTAAGATTGGCACTAAACAAGAATATCATTTCCAAAGACAGCTTTGATTTGAGTAGTTTCGCCCCCCCCCCCCCTCCCCTCCCAAAACAAAAAAAAGAAAATCTTTTTTTAATTTTGTAGTTTCCCATCAGGTTCTCTTTCAGCCTCATCCTTTTACCGCATTCTTCAATACCCCTCGTCTTTGCCTCCCCCCGTCCCATCCCAATCTATGGTAGCCAAAGCTTGTCTGCCGCATTCTCAAAAAAAAAAGAAAAAGGCCTGGCTGCCTCTATAGGTCCCAGGATCCAATTTTTCAGCTGGGTTTCCACCTCCGAAAGAGCCCTAATGTTGGACCAACTCCAAAGAAGGGGTCTGCCCCTACCTAGAAGATGCATTATGTGCTCGAGCGAGGAAGAAACCAACCCCTATCTATTCATCCACTGCGAAGTTGCGAATTCTCTTTTGGGGGATTTACTTCAGCTATTCGGATTTACATGGGTGACCCCTCACACCATCCTAAACCTTTTCAGAACACGCCTCTCTCCCCCCTGGTCAAAAACAGGCATACTCCGTTGTCGTGCTTCTGTGAAATATTAGGATTTTCCGTGGGGAGATCTATTGAGACCTTTCGAGAGAAAATCAAATCACTAGTCATCTTTTGGGCAATTGGGCCAAAAGTAATGTTGCTTTCCAACATCTCGCTGTCTCTGATTTCCAGATCTGTTACATATCAGAACACAGCGAATCCCCCGGGCATCTCTTTGAAGGCCACCTGACTTGGGACACGTTAAGTTCAACTTTGATGGTTGCTTCCTTGGTAACCCCGGTCCTTCAGGGATTGGAGGCATCTTTAGGGGCAAGTATGGCAATACTCTTTTCTCTTTCTCTCGTTTAATTGGCATTACCAACTCCAATATGGCTGAGCCTACTGCCCTACTCGAAGGGTTACGCCACTTCGACCTTTCTTGGGGCTCTATTCTGATTATGGAAGGGTACTCAAAGATTGTCATAGCATGGGCTGTCCGGACCTCCCGTGGTCTTTGGCGCCTAGAACGCATCTTTGACGAGATCTTTGATCTCACTAACGACCTACAAGTGATTTGGCAACCCACATGGAGAGAAGCAAACCACGCAGCAGATGCCCTAGCCAAGGAGGGTGCCTCCCTACAACACCCTCAAGCGACTCTTACACATCTATTCCAGCACTAGAGCCCTGTTTTTTGGTGCACTGAATTGATTGTCTAATTTTCAGATGTATAGCATTTTTGGACCCCCTAAAGGGCCTTCTCTTGTATGGCTCCCCTTTAGGGAATGCCCGTTTTTTATATACCCTTTTGCTCAGTACAACAGTAATTTTTTCTCAAAAAAAAAGAAAAAAATCTCATTAAATTTGAAGTTTATATTTAGAATTTGCATGAGCATGGAGCTTCTTTTTCAACTTCAGTTAATTTTCAGGTTTCCAATTCAAGGTCCCTGAAATTTCGATGATTTCAAACCATTAAGTAAAATTGGTCTTCGTAGTTCAATATAACTTAAAGCTCGGGGATTACAGTTCAATCTACTTAAATTTGGGAAGTCTTTTGATTAATGTCCATCAAAATCAATACTCTGTTTAATTTAGCCACTTCCAACCCAAGTGTGATCCAATTTGGCACTTTATTCCCATCAAATTCAAAGTTTCCAACATGGTTTTGAACTTAAGGTTTTCAGCTTGACATTATTCAAAGATAGAGGTTGTTATTTATGATAAGCTATGCACATTAATATAGGTCTAGAAAAAATTGAGAATGCAAATTACGTTTTCCTTTGTTCATCACGAGATCATCTCACTGATCCAGGGTAAGTTAATGCGTGCATTTTTGGTCCTCAATCATTTCGAGTTCTAATTTAAGGCATTTTGATTTTATATATGATGGTTCAGTTTCAAGGCAAAAGGCTGAGCAAGGTGTGGAAGTTTTGGGATACTACAGCTGGTGACTGATGGTTAAAGGATTGTAAGTTTGGTGGGATGGTTTTGTGCAAAATAAAATCAAAACCTAATGCTTAGTGCATAAACAATTTCTAGAGACTTCTGACAGACCTCCTTAAATAGACAGATGTAGTTTAAATCAGTGTTGTCGAACTTGGCTCGGGCCAGTTAGTCGGCCCTGGTCCGAGTTGAGTTACTCAGACGAGTGGATTTGCTCAAGTAATGTCGACCATGTAAAATTAAAGAAAAGCAAAAAGAGATAGAAAAAGGAAGGGACCTACACGTGGCTAGAAGTTCCTCTCTCTCTCTGGGCTTCGGCACATGGCCGAAGAGAGAAAGGACTTGGGCACATGGCTAGAAGTTCCTCTCTCTCTCTCGCATAGGATCTTGCCAGAAGGTTCTCTTTGTCTTCCTATCTCTCACTCTCTCTCATGATCTCACAGGATCTTCCGAGAAGGTCCATTTTACCACAGTTCTCTCTCTCTCTCTCTCTCTGGATCTTATCATAAGGTCTCTCTCACTCAAATGGAACAAAACTTCAGATAAGGAAAACCCACATAAACTCAAACCTGAGCTTCCAAGGAGAATGAATGGAAAAATTGTGTGAGAGAATAAGAGCGATCACATGGTTGTTAACAGTTACCATGAAAGGAAGGCAAGACAACCATGAGAGGATCCCCATAACCAACAGCCTTTGTAAAAGGCCAGCTCACATCAGCAAAAGCCCTTTACAAGACAACATTGAGAGGGTACCCATTTTGCTTGAGAAGCACACATTCCAGAAACGTGTCAACTGCTTCATTCAGATCCGAAAAAAAAGCGTTTGTGATTGTTTTGGAAGAAATGAAACAAAAGATAGAGCAGAACTAGGACAATTTTTGTATGAGGTCTACAGATGGATGCATAGGTGTTCTTCAGAATATCGAGGAAGAAGAGGACACGGGAGCCTTACGACTCTCTAATGCCATCAAGAGCTTGGGGAATGAAGGAAGATCCAATCCCTTTTTGCTTTTAATAGAATATTCAATCAAATAAAAGCTGCTGTAATTTTCAAATCTTTTTATTCGAGATTTGTTGCAACTAGTATTGGGGTGTTTTCACTTGAGCCATATGAGCCCAAGAATTTTTTTTACCCTCTGAAGAAAGTTTTAATTAAAGAATTTTACACTCTAAAGAGAGTTTGAACTGCAATGAGATAATAAATTTTTATATGCACAAAAGTCTGGGTTTTCCGTTTTTCATAGGAGTGCGACTCCTGCTCGTTCCCTCGACAACAGAAAGTATTTGTCAGATACGGGCTTTACCTTGAGGAAATAGATCTATATATCTATGATCAAATTATATCGGTTGAATACACCATTGTCAAATTATATCGGTTGAGTACACCATTGTCAAAATGAAAATTGGGAAAAACAAATACAGATAAATGAAACAAAAGAAAGAAGAAATTGTGTGGAAGGAAGCACCTGTGATGTACCTGTTATTGTGCCCACAGTAAAAGTTGGGTCGCCAAGTGATGAGCGGATGACTGCTGAGCGCACCTACTTGGAGAAGTGTGTAAGCATTGAGCGAGCCAAACTACTAAAGAAAAAGAAAGAAAAGAAGTCCTTCCCAAGAACCAAAATCCATTTTGTCGTCTAGTAGCTACAACAATCTTTCTGTTCGGTATTGCAGTTTCACTTTGGTAAAGTATTTGAGCAACATTAACCATTGATAAATCCATTGCTAGTATAGTTCCCTATTCGCTATTCTACCATTGTTAGGGCAAAATTGAACGAACTCCTAAATGAGCTCTAGGGGGTTTGTTCATCTTACCATAGACTAGAGCCACTTTTGATTATGCAATATGGTTTAGCTCATCAATCTGAATGACTAAATCAATAACACAGAAAGTATATTCTTTTTTGCTCTTTCCTCTGATCCTACACTTATTTACATACCTATAACCTAGTAGGATCAATGTATATGTTTGAACTCATCAAGAGTAGATGACCTGTATGTTTTTACTATGCGGACTAAGAATTCTTTTGTCCTTTCTTGAATTGCAGTCCCAAAGAAACATACTTCTATGTCAAAGAAGCATATTTGTGGAAGACCTTGCCCTAGGAATTCCCGTCGTCATTCAATCCGTCTCTCGATTCTTTTGCGCATAGAGGACTAAGTACTCTATTGATTGGGCTGTGATGATGTGATGGTCATGGGGATATGCATGACCATGTAGATCATGTGATAGGGGCTTCTTGAATTTTGTCCTTTTATTGCAGTGTAGACTGAAATGTGGTTCTCCTAAGTCCTAATCATACAAAATTGACACTTGTCTTGCACTGGAACATTTCGATGCCTCACTGTATTGATGATTTTTTAAGTGAATGTTCTAGGGCTTATTTGGATGCACTAGATACGACAGATATCTTGCAGTTAAACCAATTATGTTTGTCCAGAACACTTATATGAAGTTTGAAGTGGGTGTATAAGGATATTTTTGGTAGAGTTCTAAGCGATTTCCATATAACTTTATGTAATTGCAAAAGTTATTTTATCTTTAAACCCAACTAGCAAGAGGTATGTGAAATGCACTTGTCAATTGTCATTTTTGGTTTTTACAATCTGAAAGGGATAGAAGTGCATGAATATTCTAAATAAAAAACCAAATCTTTAAACTTTCGAGATTATGGATGAGGTATTCAATAAAGTGAATAATCTTCAAAATAGGAGAGAATCTCTCTTTACCTACATCCAAAGTATTTATTATTTAATTTGGAAAAAAAAATATTTATTAAAAGAGAGTTTTATTTTCTTCGCTTTTTCGAAGCAGATTTCTTGTTATGCTTTCTCAGATAAATTAATAAATTGAGATACTGTTTCAAAAAGTGGACCGCGCAGCGCTTGGGCGGCCGCCTAGGCGGATATCCCTAGGCGCTCGCCTGAACCAGCCTAGGCGGCTGCCCAGGGCCTGCATCCCACCCAGGGGCAGAAATGCGGCTCCTTAAGGGTATTTTTTGGGTCATTTTTTTAATACTAAAGGGGTATGGGTTTTAAGTTAATTTGAAACCTAAAACCCATTAGAGGCTATTTTAGAGAGAGAGAAAGAAAAAGAAAATTCTACTGGGCTGCTCAGCTTCTGGGCGCCCTCCTAGGCGCTGGGCGGCCTGGACCCTCCGACCGCCTAGGTGCCGCCTAGCACTTTTGGAAACACTGAATTGAGATATTTATTATAGGAGGAAATATAGATTGAATTGGATTAGGAGTTAGGTCACCCCAAAAACTCTTGAGTTTGTAGGGTCCCCACCTTACTCTGAAAACTCTCTCTCCATAGTTTCCTACTCTCGTTAAATGCCATCTGTCCCCACCCTTAATTGTGGCTTAATATATGTAGAATAGTTACACATTTTAATTTGTCAGGCACATAAAGGCTAGTGCTTGCTTCCACTTCTGTCCTCACGTGCAGATTGATTCGACTCTCCCATTAGTTAAAAGGGACTCCAACCTCTGCTCGTCATTGCCCTAACAGAGAACATGGCCCTAACAGGCATTCTGTTTCCGGTGCTGTCCTCCGTGACCTAATATGATGAAGCTGTGATGAATCAAGGTTTCAATGTGTTGTCAGGGCTGGCTCTTTGAAGGAGACCATGGAAGTGGTGAAGAGGGCTTTTGAAGGGAGATCAGAGAGGGCGGTAAGAAACTTTGAGAGGTGGATTCCAAGTGGTGAAGCATTTGCAGTTGGATTTGTTCCCTTGTGGGTAAACAATTGTTAGGGCAGCTTACTGTTGAGCTAGTTTAGATATTTGAATCCCATTTGTCTTTATTTATGGGTTCGAGTTTTAGGGTTAGGGTTGGGGATATGTCTTCTATTTCTCACTTTTTTTTTTCATGGCTTCGACGTAGTTCCATTTGATTTTGTGTCTTATTCTTTTGTTTCGGGTTTCCCCCCCCCCTCTTCGTTGTCTAATGATATTGGCTTTGGTCACAGTGATGAAGTGTAAAAACTGTGTCTGCTAAGTTTTTTGTGGTTTTGATCAAAAAATGATTTTGCTTCTGGAGTATATGGATCATCCTATCGTATCTAATTCTAGTTAATGATAAAAATAAGCATTTTGACCTATGGTTTCTTGAGTTTTGCTTTTTCTTTGGTTTGATTTCGGGATTAACTGTCTTGTTGTGGAACTACAACCCAAGACTTTTTGTAGAAATGAGTAAAATGTGAATGTATGTATAGGTGAAGCTCCTGCCCACTTAACAGCAATCAGTATGCAAATTGCAAGATCTTTGTTTTTGACTAATTGAGAGATTATAAATGTCTACACTATAATTGTGCAATAGTGATTTTCGAGCTGTGAAAAGAAGATTGCATTGATTGCATGGGAACCTTAATAAGTTTGGATTGGTGGTTCCTCGTTTTTACAACTACAAATTGGATCACTGTACAGCGTCTTTCAATAGATGGCATTTTGTTACTGATTTGATTGACTTGTTTCTTGTTTTTAGGGTTTGATTCCCATTTCTCTTGATGCAATGGAGTACCATCAGTCCATTGCATGTAGGTTTTGCACATTTGGTGTCCTTTATGTAAATAATTATGTTGAATCTTCAAAGAGCAACCTATAGATTCTTTAATTCATCTTCTTCAGAGACATCAAGGTTTTTCTTTATCTAATTATGCTATTTATGTGGGGATAATGATCATGAATTGTGGGATCTTATATTGCCTGATTTCCTAATTCATTGCTTGCCATGAAAGATGCATTGGTGCCTCTTGAGTCATGCACAACATGAGCTGTAAAATGAACTGCAATCATGCTGGTTTGGTTCAAAAAATTGAGCTGGAAATTTGGGGTTCAGTATCTATCGACTACGAGCCCCTAGCCAGCTCTCAAAACCTTCCTGTGAAGCCATTGTTCTCTGTAACATCCTTTCCTCAACTGAGCGACATATGTCACACTGTGCTGATGGAATTGATATATAATAGTATCTGCCGAACAAATAATATGAGTAATATTATAAAAAACATATAATATGAGTAATATTATAAAAAACATACTAATTTAGAAAGAGTAATGCATCTTTGCTAGAATTAATTGTCACTCAAGAGACAAAAAAGACCCCGGTCAGGATAGTTTATCTTATAAAGACACTTCCCCATTTACAGTTGATGGAGTAAAAGCAGTATGCGACTAGGATTGGTACTCGCAGTAAAGGTGAAAGCAGCTCGAGATGTGTTTTATCCAGCCAGGGCAGCTAGGGTCGAGGCAGCGAGGTAAGAAGCCGTTGCAGACATGTGCATTAGTCTCCGTTTTGGTGAGTGTTTTGATTAGTCAATACCATTGTGTGCACGGAGGCATACTCATTAGTTTTTCTTACTTGTTTTTGGCCTAGAAAATATTTAATCTTTTGCTCGTAATAATATGGCATATATTTGTGTTTGCCTTTTTATACTTCAGCAACTGATTGAGAAGTTTAGGGCGAAGGGAAAACCTCCACGTAGTCTTTATTGATCTAGAGAAAGCTCATGATAGAGTACCTCGAGATTTGATTTGGTGGGTGTTGAAAAAGAAAGGAATTTCCAAACACTACATTGACTTGGTGAGAGATCTGTATGATGGAGCGTTAACTAGTGTACGAACAACTAGTGGAGAGATGAGTAAGTTTTCAGTAACAATAGATCTACATTAGGGGTCAGCATTGAGCCCATACCTCTTTGTCTTAGCTATGAACGACTTAACTAGGTACCTACAAGATATGGTACTGTGGTGCATGTTGTTCGTAGATGACATAGTTTTCTTTGATGAGACCTAAAAAGGTGTCAATACAAAGTTAGAACTTTGGAGGGATGCTCTAGAATCTAAAGATTTTAAAATTAGTCGAATTAAAGCAGAGTATATGGAATGCAAGTTTAGTAATAATAGGAGTAGAGACGAGGAAGTAGTTAAGATCGACGGCCAGGAAATACCAAAAAAAATGCACTTTCGACATCTTGGGTCGATAATCCAGGAAAATGGAGAGATTGGGGAAGATGTCGCATATAGAATTAGAGTTGGGTGGGCGAAGTGGAGATGTGCAACCAGAATTTTATGTGATCGTCACATACCAATGAAGTTGAAGGGCGAGTTCTATAGGACAATTGTGAGACCAGTTTTGCTCTATGAGGCGGAATGTTGGGCGGTCAAAAAATAATATACCTATAGAATGAGTGTAATGGAGATGAGGATGTTGAGATAGATGAGTGGCATGACAAGAAGAGATAACATTTAAAATAAATACATTTGGGAAAATTTAGGTGTTGCACCAATAGGCGATAAGATGAGAGAGAGTAGACTTAGGTGGGCTGACCATGTGTGGCATAGACCTAGTATAATGCCTATTAGGAGGTGCAAGTTAGTTTAAGTGGATGGCTCAAAAATGGCAAAGGGTAGGCCCAAAAGGACATGGTTGAAAGTATTAAGAAAAGATATGGGGACTTATGACCTCACTGAGTTTATGACCCTTAATAGAGCAAAATGACGGACCAGGATTCATGTAGCCAACCCTATTTAGTTGGGGAAAGGCTTTGACGATGAAGATGATGATATTTGTGTTTGCCTTAAGACTGTTGCTTTTAACTTCTCTTACAACTGTTGCTTATATAATCTGTTCTTGTATTCCTATTTGAAACATTAATTTGAATGCAAAGCACATGAAACTTAGATTCTCCTCATGTGCATAATTTATCCTGATACATTATACTTTTTTCATTTCCAGGAATAATACAACGACACATTTGTTATGCAACATGATTTCTTTGTCAAGACAGTCGCTGATCCAATCATCACTTTTGTTTTCTGAAGTGGAAGACACTGAAAGGCATCATGACCAAGAGCTTCCTTTTTATCTCCCACTGTACACATGGAACTCCATGGCGAGCCATCTTTGCTTCTTGTCTTTCACAGATTGGCAAGAGAGCATTTCATCTCATTTATTCTGGCTCTCCAACCACAAATATTCCCACCACTTCTTCAATTCGAAGAACACCCACTTCCATTAGTTGTCTTCAAAATGGTTATCTTCAAGCCCCTTATATCTTTGGCTTTCTTCTCCTTCAACATCTTATCCATTTATCTCGGGATTTTTCTACTGATGTTAAGCACAGGCTCACAGGGAAAGCTTGCATTCATGCAAGATCGTTGAATAAACTTGAACTTGCTCTGAAAGACCATAGATGGGATGAAGCATGGGAAGCTTTTCATGACTTTAAAAAGTTACATGGATTTCCACAACAAACCCTTTTAAGAAGAATGATTCTCGAACTCTGTTATTCACCAGATGCTCGCTGGCTTCAGAGAGCATACGATCTAGTCCTCATGGTTCAAGAGGAAAAGAGATGGGCTTTTCTTCGCCATGATCCATTGGCCATGGTTTCTCTTTCTCTCTCTAGAGCCCAGATGCCAGTTCCTGCCTCCACTGTCTTGAGACTAATGTTGGAGAATAACAGTTTCCCACCAAAAAGTATATGGAGTGCAGTGTTCTTGCACTTGGTTAAGTCAGAGAAAGGAGCACATGTTGCATCAGAGATACTGATAGAGATTTGTGAATGCCTTTCACAACATAAGATATCTCGAACTAGTGGTGCTCTGATCAACTCCTTAATGGAAGTCTATTCCTATGCCACTGTCTTTAATCTTGTCTTGAATGCATGCTTGAGGTATGGATCTACTGGGAAGGCCCAACTCTTATTAGATTTGATGGCAAAGATAGGGATCAGTGGTGATGCAAATTCCATTGTACTTATGGCTTTGATCCATGAGAGGAATGGAAAAAGGGATGAGTTGCGGAAGCTCAAGAAGCACATTGATGAGGTACCACCTTTGCTAGATAGTCATTATCAGAAGTTCTATGACAGTCTTCTGAAATTGCACTTTATGTTCAATGACATCGATGCTGCTTCAGAGCTTGTCCTTGATCTTTATAGGCGTTCACATGATCTTTTTCTCTCCAGGGAGCTTGAATCTGAGACTAAAAGTGAAAAGAGCAATGTTGGGACCGTTGAATTGTGCAAGATTGAATCATCCAAGAAGGACATCACAATTGGATGGAACAGTAAAAGAGAGAGAAGTTTTGTGGTTCATTTTGGACCTCGAAATATGAAGACCATTTTGACAATGAGGTTCCATCCCGAGATGTTGCAGGATGCTTCGCTAATTAAAGTGGACAGCACATCAGAGCTTATAATTGACATTAAGGGGGGGCTTGAAGCTAGCACAAAGGCTCTAGCCATGCTTTTCAATGGCTATCAAAGGCTTGGAAGGGTTGATGACTTTACAAAGGTGCTTGTGAGTATAGAGAGAGAGAGACCCACATCAACTGAAGCTTCAATAAGCACACAGGTGATCCATGCTTGCATTAAATTGGGTTGGCTTAGCACTGCTCATGATATCATAGAAGACATGGCAGCAGCTGGAATTTCTCTCTCCACTTCTTTGTATTTATCGCTTTTGAGAGCTTATCACATTCATAATCAATGGAAGGAGGCCAAGGTGTTGGTCAAGCTGATGAGAAAGGCTGGGCATCTCTTATCACTATCAGATGAACAGGTTATATCACTCTCCCTCTCTAAAACAGGGGCAAAAGAGTCCAGTCCAAGGAGTAGCAGACATGATACACTGACTGAGCTTTTAGAAAGAGAATCTAGAAAGGAGGAACACGTTTCTCACATGGTATATGAGATTAACTCTTCTATAGACTTCTTTTGCCATGCCAATATGATGGATGATGCTGTGAAATCATTTCGAAAGATGCAAGATATGGGGCTTCGACCAAATAAACAAACATTCAGGCTTTTGATAAATGGGTATTCTTCTTTGAGCATGTATCGAGAAATCACGATACTTTGGGGTGAGATCAGGAGGGGTATAGAAGATGGAAATGTACAAATTGATAGGGATATTTACGACAGCTTGCTGTGGAGTTTCCTCAGAGGTGGGTATTTCGAGAGAACAATGGAATTTGTTAAAAGAATGACAGAATGCAACATGTTTATAGACAAGTGGAAGTATAAAAGGGAGTATTTGAAGTATCATAAGGATTTGTATAGGAACCTGAAAGCTGCAAAAGCCAAAACAGAAGCTCAGCTGAATAGATTAGAACATGTTCGAGCCTTTAAAAGATGGGTTGGGGTGAAGGGAAGGTATCCTTATTAGGGTTTAGATTGTAGCTGTAGGAGCGTTGTGCTTGAGTGGTAATCTTGTTTCCAAAAACTTCTGCTTCCTTGGCAATCTTTTACTGGAAAAGGATTGTAAAATTAAGTTGGGTGTTAAGAGTACTCATATTGTTAGTGAAATCCAACAAGTGATTTGTTTTTCCTTTGGTGGATATGCAGATTTTCTTTTGATGAACAAGAAAAAGAATATGATGATTTGCTTATGTTGAATGTGACCACGTACTTGTATGCAAGGGAGTGGCCTTTAAAGTAACATATGGAGTAGGTACATGCCTTTGCATGGGCAAGTTTGGAATGGAAACTGAGATTTAATGCGATAAGTTTAGCCAGTGTTTGAGAACCCTGATTGCTCGGGTGAACTGGCCAATTGGTAAATTGGTTTGGATCGATGAAGCGATAATCAGGAGTGGCAATCCAACTGATGCTCCCAGGTGAGAATCGGTCAATTAAAAATTTAGAAAAAATAAAAAAATGGAAATTATAAGAAAATAAAAGTGCAAGAATTGGCCGGTTCCATGGGTACAGACTGATTCTGGGTTCAAACTAGGAACAGGGTTGGTCATCTCCAGTTCTCGGTCCAAATTGGGTGACATTGATCAGCCCCTGTTTCTGCTCTCTTGCACCGTTCCTTTTTAAAAAGTAACAAGTGTATCTGTACCGCCACAGGGGAGTCTGTTTCGTCAACTCCTCATAATTCTTCCTCCAACATGCTTGTAAGGCTGGCTAGGCAAAAATAACTATTCTTTATTAGAATTATGATTGCTTGAAAGTACACATTTTCAGCATAGCCAAAATGATGACAGGGCTATTTCTTTGATATAGCCATTAGCGTGTCCAAAGTCCAAACTGGGCCTAAGATCTTTGGCATTCCTTCCTCTTTCAAGTTGCATTAATATAAGTTTGAAAAAAATTCATGATTACAAAACCCAAACGGACCTCTTGAGTTTCACATCTACTAAATCATCTAACAAATAGGTTGAAACCATAGAAATTAAGCTTGGACTGGTTACTGAACTAGTAAGGGATTAGATCTAGTAAAAAACATTTGGTTGTCGATTTTACATATGGATTATATTTTAAAATTATTTAAAAAAATAAGAACAATAGTTTTAAAATATAAAATATATATATATAAACTTTCTCAACTTTGTTTAGTAGCCGCTCAATTTGAAATAATTCAACTAACCCAAACTAATGGAACATTGATTTTGAGATTGTAATTGGTTTTACTGTTGAGGTTCGCTATTAGGTTCTAGTGGTTACATCCCAAAATTTGGTGTACAGAAAGCATTTCGGGCTTGAGTTTTACCTGAGGAAGGAAATGCACAGTATGCTCCTACTTGAGCATCAAATCTTTTTTGCATTAGGGAAATTTTACTGCTGCAAAATGACCTTTACCTTTCCACAACCACTTTTATGACTACGAATTTATTGTGTGGCACTAATTTCTTGTCCCTTAACACCCAATTCTCATTTCATGGCTCTACATATTGTATGTCAGTCCTACAGGAACAGAGGCGCACTCCTGCAGGATAGTACTGTACACTTCTCCTTGAGGCAGAAGGGGTAGTATTTCAATTTGAAAATTTGGATCTACTTTAGAATCAAAACCGATGAGTATTTTTAAAAAAAAAAAGAATATTGAGTTCTTAAATACTTACTGGGGAGCGGTTTGTATAGAGCCTAGGCTCTAAACAATCAAATTAGAGCCTACCTCCAAATAGGATCAAGAAATGTGGTTTCAATATTGGAAAGCATTGTGATAGCCTTAAAATACATTTTCATCTTTATTTATAAAGTTTAAAGCTTAAAAAATAGTGCAGATCGACAGATCTATGAAAACTTGAAAATCTTGAAAATTGACGGTCTTAAAATGCGTTACAAAATATATTATTTCCAAAACTTGAAATCTATTTTTTTTTTTATGTCCATACATCTTGATGTCAAGATGATCAATTTGATGATATTTGGGCATCAAACAACCTCTTTGAGTGAAATTTTTTAGGTAGGCTCTAATTTGATTGTTTAGAGCTTCCGTTCTATATAAACTTTCCCCATACTTAAAATGTAGAACATTCCCATACATGAGCCAACCCATTATTTCAAATTAAAAAATCAAACATCAAACAATTTGCCATGAAGTATGAAACATTTGAAACATAACAAAATGTGCAAGTAAAATTGCAGAGAGACCAGGAGATCTGGAGCTCATTAATTTAGGATTGAAGTCACTAACAACTGCTCACCATCTTCCATCATATATGGTATAATTGCAGGGAAATGTTTCATACTTAACATGGCACCAGGCCTACCATTGATATCATCTCTTTGTTTTGGCACCAGGCCTACCATTGATATTAATGGCAGAAAATCGAAGGTTTCGACTTATTTACTGTCTTTTCTCATTCTAGATGTGTAGTGCATACACCTTTAATGGCCATGGCCCTGAATCAGACCACCTATTGAAATTTCGACCAAAAATCGGAAGAAGAGCACAGCTCACCTTTTCTCAAACCATGACTTTATGCACATTATAGATTCGGACCATCCATTAAAGCTTGAATTCCAGTTCGAACCATCAGTGACGGAAATCCTGTGTCTCTTCCAATCCATCAAAACTGTTCTTAGGTCCAAAAGCTTGGCCTTTAAGCTCTTGCAACAATTTGCATGCATGGTGTTCACTATTCTCAAATCTCTGCTCTTTTCACAAAACCCCGAAAAATAGAGCGTGTCCAGAACCCTAATTTTTAGTCCTAATTCTCTAAAAATCTCTGTGAACTTTAGGTGTTCGAGCACATCTTGGTCCTTCAATCCTGTAAAATTTGCAGAGCTTTTGCTCTCATACCAGAGATCATAGAGCTTGACTGTGCGGTTATTTGATCGTACATGGTAGAAACCAGTGTTCAAGAGGTTGGAGAGGTCATGAGGTTTGCCATTGAATCTGTCACAGCTGATTTGTATGTCGTCTTCTTGTGAGAATTGATGGAATGGGTTTCGAAGCCACATTACATCTGTGTCCTGCCATCAAGAGAAGAAAGAAGTTGCAGAGATTGTTATGGATGTTCTTATGTGGCCATTAAAACTACAAAATTTACCATCAAAGTTGAAGCCCTAAGAATGGGGTTTGAGCTCTTTGAAATATGGGTGTAGTTCACATAAGGTTGCAACCTTACTCATAGTAGTAAGGTTGCAGTAATTTATAATTTCTATTTTATTTGGATGGTATAGATTTGAGACATCTTTTAAAAATAGTGTTTTCAAAACCTGAATCGATGGGGGTGGATAATCCACCTTAAAGATCTGGGTCGGATCACTGGATTGGTGATCTAGATTGTTATGGGTCAGCAAAATATGAAAAATGAAGTAAAATAAAATAAAAATTAAAATAGGGGTTTATGGAGTGGTGATTCATGGGGACCTAAGAAAACATAGAAGCTTAAAAGAAAGAAAAGAAAAGAAAATACAAAATGTGGGGCAAGGAGGGGACAAGGCTGTGACCGATACCTTCCCAAAAACAGTTCGATCCCAGCCGATTCTCGATCCGGATTAGCAATTCGCTATGCGGATCGCTAGGTTCTAAAACATTGTTAAAGATGGTGTTAAAAAGTAGGGATTATATACAATGAGACCATTTACCTTAGATACAATATGGTCACAATTCCTTGCAACCATTTGATTTGAAATTTGACAGTTTGGATGTGTTACAAAATTCGAAAAAACTTCTTTTGAAGTTTGAGCTTGGTCAATGAAATAATTACAGCCACCTAATTTCATATCCAACAGTTAAGATTAATATGACCCTCTTGTATCAAAGGTAAATGGTCTCATTCTATACTTTCCCTAAAAAGTACTATGTCTTTTGAGATAATATCAAATCTACTCCACTCAAATAAAATGAAAAATGTAACTTACTGCAATTTTTACAAGTAAAGTTGCAACTTTATATAAACTTTGTTCCTTCAAATATTGGTAGATTTAACCGTGAAACAAATTTTGACACGGCGTATTTGGATGCACTTGTTATAACAATTTCTTCATTGTTTTAATAAAATTAATCCTAATGATGATTATTTGTTGTTTGGGAGTGTTCATGATAAAGTTATTAGAGATGAACTTATAAACAATTTTATATATACATTTATCTATTTGAAAAGCTATTCTTTCTATTTAAAATAATTCGCAGAAAATCACATATTTTTAGCAAGAAACAACTAAAAGTAGCTGAAAATGGCTAAAAAGTTAAAATAATTAAATAACAAAATTCATATAATACAAAGAGCTTACCAAATAATTGATGAAATAATATTATCATAGTTCTATTCCAGATATTTAATACATCCAAAAAGTCCCTAATATTTGAATAGAAAATACGATCCCTACATATTGAGAGATAATGGTCATGAGTGTCACTACCGTTTGATCAATGGGTGGACGGTGATGAAGAGAATGATACTTCAATTATCTCACGTTTTGTTGAGTTTTCCCTATATGTGATCCAATCATGCGACTTGGCCAAACCATTAAAAGCCAATAATACCTAAAATTCACAAAGAATTAAAGATTTTTGGTCCAGAAGGTATGAAATTATGATGGTGGGAAGTTAAGAGAACCTCCAAGGATTTCTATATTACACTCTATATTATTTTATTTTTAATTTTTTTTATATAAAACATATTTTGACACCAAAATTTGGGTATCCAATCCTCTCTTGAACTAGCACCTATAAAAAATATTAAAAAAAATATTCCCAATGATATAAAATAACTAAAATGTCTCTAAAATTTTCAGAAGTATTTTGGTCATTGTATTTTATCAAAAATATTTTTTAAATATTTTATTTAGGTGTGCCCCATTGAGGTGATAGCACATACTAAATTTCATATTCATATAGTTAGTATAAAAAAATTAAAAATAAAATACTCTGAGGCATCGGATCTAGATTAAATGATTATAGGCTCACTTGATCTAAATTGGACAGCTGGATGAAGGGGGAAGTATATATCTTTTATGCTATAGCGGAAGCATAAAAACCTTTTCCAAAAAATAGTTAAATCACTTCCTAAATACTCCAAAAAAAGATGATGTCCCAAAATTACATATAGATCGACTATCTTTTAGACGATCAAATGCAAGTAATTATGAAATATCTTTTTCTTTTTCTCATTTTGAAATGATGTGTACGGCGATAATTATATCATCGTCATCGTCAAAGGCATTTTGCATCTAATTGGGATCGGCTACACAAATCCTAATCTGTCATTTTGATACATCAAAAGCCATACCCTCACATTTAAAAAATTTCACATTAAAAAAAAAACAAACAAACAAATTAGGAGTAGGCATTTTATCCAAGGGAGAAGTCAGTGAAGGCAATGCGTGATCATTTATCCATATAAATCCCATTTAATAAATCTAGACCGGTGTTTAAAAATCCTGCTCGGGGACCCGAGACAGGTAAAGAGGGACAAGGTAAGTCTTGTTGAGTTCTTGGTGGTTGATTGATCAGTTACAATATTTCAAAAAGGCTGAGAATAAATGGAGATCTTTTACCAAAAAGTCATTTGTGTGGTCTCATAACTGCCACATGGATTCATCCCAAGCTTTACTTTAGTTTTAGAATTCCAAACAATGGAGAAAACAATAAGGAAAGTGATGGTTTCCACCAAAAATTCCACATTTCTACACTTGCCTGGAAATTTCATGAGGAAATTAATGGAGAGAAGACTGATATTATGGAATAGTAGTGAACATGGAATGATCAGAGAACCATTTGAAAAAGGGAGAAAAAAAGGTTTTATTATATTTTATCGGAATATATCTAATTTATCAATTATTTAATATTTTACCCTTTTATAGTGCATGTGTATTTTAATGGGAATTCTAAAATTTAATTAAAAGAAAAAATATATAAAGAGACTATTTCTTTTTGATACAAAGAAGTCATCGGTCGTAATCACTCTCATACGTGAGATATGAAATCAGGTGGTGGCAGTCAAAGTGTCATGGGCTAGACTTAAAGTTCAAACAAAATAAAATAAAAACCTAATTTCATGACACACATCAAGCCATCCAAGCCATCCAATTTGACATCTAATAGCTGAGAATAATTATGTCCTCCTTACCAAAGATAAATGGTCTCGTAGTATACAATCCCTGATTAAAAGAATTGGGTTATATATTAAGTAATTCATCTCTTAAGTGCACATTTGATAAATTCCCGGACTATAAAATATAAATTCTCCATTTCTTCTGGATAGAAAAAAACAAAGAAAAAAAAAAAGAGAGCCGAATTTATGAGAAGAAATTGAAAAAATGCAATGCTTACCGTGAAAACAAAACTGTAATTCCGCTTTAGAACTTGGCCTAGGAAAAGAGTCCTCCTCCACATCATGTCTAGATAATCTTGTGTCATGTAGAGCTTCTCGCCGGAGAAATCGACATCGTCCGTTACCAGCTTGTAGCAATGGAGCCCGATCTCGCGGCATCGATTGAATGCGGAGATGTCGAGAGCCACAACTAGCAGGTGTTGGGTGAGATGTTGAGTGTCTTCTCCCTGTCTGAGGCTCTCCAAGAAGAGATCGAGCATGCTTCCCTTGTCTGCGTAAGCTTTGTTGACAGTGGTTATCATGAGGGTGTTATTTGCCATGGAAGCTCCTAGTAAAGCTTTTTCTAGTTCATCCTTTGGAACATATGGTACCTGTGCCATTAAGTTCTTAAAGGGATTCATTACTCTTTTATCATTTCCTCGTATAATGATCTCTCTCTCTCTCGCTGATAAACTCGATTAAGAGCTCACCAAACAACCTTGACTGTCCAAAATGTATATAAGCCCCATAACTCTCTTTCTCTCTACTACAAAATTTGTTTGAAATTAACGATAATAACCTCGATTAAGAGCTCACCAAACAACTTTGACTTTTCAAAAGCCTCCAAGGCCAATAATCTCAGAGATTGACCATATATATCTATATTTTTTTTTTTCGAAATGTTAATGGTGGGAATGGAGGCATCCACTGTATATATATATATATATTCTTTTTCAAAATGTTAATGGTGGGAATGGAGGCATCCACTCCAAATAACTATGATTATTTGAAAGAAAAACAACCAATTAACAATTAATTTTTGTAATATCGTAATACCAGTTAAGGACCAACTGCCTTTCATTTTGAATGGGTCATTAAAACTGGAGTAGATCAAATGATCAGAGCACCGACTAATCCTTTACGCTGGCTAAGTCTAATAATAATAATAATAAAATGTTTGGTCAGAATTGGCTAAAACTAATATTCAACGGGTCTTAGCTACTTGGGCCATTAGTTTTGATGGATCGGAAGAGATCCTTGACTGGTTTGATCGCAAATCTAGATTAATTATCACAATTAAATACAGCAGAGCCTCCATTTTTTTAAAAGATGCATTAATTATTTGGCGGATTTATTTTTTCTTTTGGGTTCGGTTTTGGGGACGTCAACCTTATTTTAACATATTAATAATAACAATGTAGGCATTGACAAAAAACATTGGTGGGCTTTTAGAAAGTATTTAACTTTTCCTTGTTTCGAGGAGATTGGCTTCGATTTGATACTTAAATTGAATTAGACGTAACCACGAGGCCTAGAGTCAAACCCTAGTTTTATATGATTTTAAAATAATAGCATTTGCATGGTTTTGTATTCGAAATGAGTGTCATGTTTGATCCACCAAACCCGGACAAAATAAAAGGGCAAAAAAACTTTTGAGGACACAAATGAAGCAAACATGAGACAAATTATGTAGATATAAACCATTGGCTAGTGGTTCAAGTCAGTGCATGCCTTCGACCGGTGAGGGCCTGGTCTGAATCAGTATAATGTGGAGTCTCGTCTAGTTCAAATCTGTCTGAACTGTTAGTTGGAGTGGTTTATATATATATATTAAAAATAAAAAAATATATCAAAAAATTCGACAAATTTTATTTAGCCGATTAAATAGATCAAAATTTGCTTGTTTGCGTAGATAAAACTGATCAAATATTAATCTTAATTGGTTTTCAACCAAACCCAATTTTTTGTTTTGGATCATATCCGCTAAAGTCCTGGTTGGACGAAAAAGATTGGTAATGACAATTATATTTTAAGTCCATGCCGAGGACTACAGAAATAATAATAATAAAGAGAAGAGAATAGCAAACATCATTTAAAAAGGGAAAAGTTTATATAAAGCCTAGGTTCTAAACAATCAAATTTGAGTTTATCTAAAAAATTTCGATTATTTTGATGTTCAAATATCCTCAAATTCATTATCTCTACATCAACTCGTATGGATATGAGAAAAAAATGGATTTCAAGTTTTAGAAATAGTGTATTTTGTAAGGCACTTTTTGACCGTAAATTCTCAAGTTTTCATAAATCTCTCGATCTACACTATTTTTTAAGCTTTAAACTTTATAAAAAAAGATGAAAATATATTTTAAGGCTATCAAAAAGATTTCCATTATTGAAACCATATTTCTCGACCCTATTTGAAGGTAGGCTCCAATTTGATAGTTAGAGCCTAGGCAGTGTACTAACCACACCCTTCAGAAAATAATAAGTTTAAAATTTCAAAGTGAAGAGTAAATTAGTATTTCTATTTCTTTTCTGTGGGTGACTCTGGTACAGAGAAGGCGCCATTCTTCAACCTTTCTCAAGGATCAAATCATGAAAGGCCACAACCCCATAGAACATGCATAATTAAGTTAAAAGATGGAAAAATAAACAATTAGGACTACATCGAGAAACAGAAATAACAAAATATAATTTTCATAAAATATCACAAAAATATAAATGGAAACAAAATAAAGAGATGAATATGTCTGTCATGTAAGCAACATTAAAAAGACACATTTAAATGAAATTTGGCCTCTTTAGTTACCAATAAAATGTTATAGCCTCTGTATTAATGTTTGTGCCTACAGTTCGGTTCAAACACTCTGATTTTTAGAACCGTGGGTTCCAAAATTCAGCTTCATAACAAAGGGTAAAAAAAACACTTCAAATTTCTTCTAATTTTTTTGGGTTTTCATTTCTAAGTGTTCCAACTTCAAATCTAGCTTACCCATCAAGAAAAATAGAAATAAAAGAGTTCATTTCCCTTTTCTTCAAAGAAATAAAAAAAAATAATTAACCATATTTCTCTCTGAGATTTTCTTTTGAGAAATATAAATCATACCTTCTGTTTCTTGGAAGATTTATTTTTTGAGAGAAATAATCATACCTTTTGTTGACCATAATGTGTTGCTGCTTGTTGAAAGGGGTAGTGTAGAGCAATCGAGAGGGCCGGATTTGAGATGACCAATAACAATAAGGCGAAGAAGAGGGCGCAGGCGATAACCCATGAGCCCGCTTGGCCGATTGTGATTTTCCGGCGACTCATTCTGCGGATTCCGGCCAAAACTCGCCAGGAAGTCTCAGTTTCCGGTGGGTTTTGGCGCTGGACGTTTTGATCACGTACTGCCTGTGTTTCAACACCCGCTATGTATATTATATTAATACATGACGATGAATCTTTCTCTTTGTTGGGTCGTTTTCTTGTGGTTATTTTTCTTCTCTCTTTCTGTTTTGGGTTTCTCTCTCCACTGTGTTTCCCTCTTTCTCTCTCTAAATTTCTCTCTTCTTTCCTCGCTGTCTCACGTTGTTTTACGTTCCAAAATGAAGCTCTCCCTCTCTCAAATTTGAGTGAATATTAATAGACGAACAAGCTTTCTCTCTCTCTAATTTGGGTAAATATCTTTTTTAAAACAATTTAACTGTAATTTTCATTAAAAAAAGAGCAAAAGCTTCAAACTATATAATACAATAATTTGGGTAAATATTAATTGGGCGCGTATATACACCTTCCGAGTATAGTTTATATTTACTTCCTTGGTTTAAAGACTTATTGGGAAGGATTTTTTTTATTTAAAATTGTGAAAATCACTTCAAATTACTAGATGATTATTCTCAAAATAAATTTTTTTCTGAAATTTGAGTTCTAAAACACTATCATCTCACCCTCTAGCAGGTCTTTTCCATTGATTTTGTCACTCTCTAGATTTTGCGGGACAATGCCAATCTCCCTGCACTTTACGGGACAAAATAGGTAAAGGGGTCATCATCCCCACCGATTTACCCAAAAAAAATCTCAATCCTCTAAAAATTAGACTATTCATCCTCAAAAAATTTAATGTTTTTTCAAATTAATAGAAGGTATAATACTAAGGTTAATGTATGGGTTGAAGAGGTTACATCCCTAAAATATGAGATCCTAAAAATAATTTTAGGTGCAATTTTAACAGAGGACGTAAATAAACATAATATTCCCGAAGAAATATAATTTCTTTTGGCCACAAAGGAGGGCGTAAATAAACAGTAACGAGTATAATATCATTTAGTCAGAGAGGGAAAGATCGATTGGCCATTTCTATAACGGCGGAGCGGACTCTGTAACGTTGTCGTGGTCTCAGACCAAGCCATTAATAAACTGCTAATTGAGAGCCCACATATTTTAAAAAGGATGCCTTTGTATAGGGCCCTAGGCTCTAAACAATCAAATTAGAGCCTATCTTCTAATAGTGTCGAAAAATGTGGTTTTAATACTGAAAATATTTGTGATAGCCTTAAAATATATTTTCATCTTTATTTATAAAGTTTAAAGCTTCAAAAATAAAGTACATGGAAATATCTATGAAAACTTGAAATCTTGAAAATTGATGGTCCAAAAATGCATTATAAAGTACACTATTTCCAAAACTTGAAATTCATTTTTTTTCTCATGTCTATATATCTTGATATTGAGATGATCAATTTGAGGATATTTGTGCATCAAGTTAAGTTTTTGTGTAGGCTCTAATTTGATTGTTTTAAGCATGAGCTCTATATAAACTTTTTCCATATATATATATATATATATATATATATATATATATATATAG